AAATACCCAGCCACAACAAAAAAAGATAAAAACTAAAAAAATTCAACACAATCCTTCTTGTAGGGAGAAACCCAGTGCCAAGGAGGTACCTGTAAAAAAAAATAATTTTGATTTATTTAAAAAAAAGAAAAGAAGATAGAAACTTTAAGCCTTGATTTACGTCAATCGGGGCTGTTTCTCGTTAAAAAAAATCAGATCTAGAAAGAGAACATTGAAAGGAATCTTTTAGGATTTTTTGTATTTTTTACCACGATAGCGACCCATATGGCGATCGGCACTGCGACAGTACACCAGACTCCGGTGAAGCCAGAGAAAGCTTCTGAACGAAAAACTTTTTTTTTCTAGAGAAGTGAAAAAATGAGTTAAAAAAAAGTTGGCTTTTATATAAGAAAAACAAAGCCCAAACGATGTCGTATTGGACCCAAGAGGATCCGCATGTTTATTAAACCTGACCTGAGATTTCCGCAACCGATCTGGTGACTCATCTATCAACCAACCCTGAACCGGCTCAATCGAACCACCACTCAACTGAACCGCTAGTCGAACTGACACTCAATTGAACCACTTGTCAAACCGCCTTGTTTTCAACCTAGTCGAATCACCGTTGATTGGATCGTTGATTGATTCGATTCAGGTAAAAAAAATTTTTTTTTAATTTTTATATATTATTTATTTATATCATTTTTAACATTATTATTGTTTTTTATGCATGCTTTAAAACTTTTAGAAGTTTATTAAAATAAATACTTTTTGATTTATGGTAATAATTAACAATAATTATAATTAAATGACAATAACAATAATAAAATTCAAATGTTTTTTAAAAAACTTTTAATTCCTATTAATGTTTTTTTTAATAATCCAAATATTAAATCAAAAACAATAAAATATGCATATAATAATAATAATAATAATAATAATAATAATTTTTTCCTACCTAGATGTTGGAGGGAATACAATCGTGTTTTAAATAATGATAATTTCACCTAGATATTGAGAAATTATTATTATAAATAATAAATAATATTAAAACCAAATAAATTTTTATTATGATTAACTCTTCATAATAAAAATTTATTTTCTTAAAAATCAAACTTGCTCTGAAAATCTATCTAGATGTTGGAGATTTTTAAAATATTCGCGTTTTTTTTAACCTTAAATTTGAAATCCTAAAATCCAAAATCCCAAACCCTAAGAGTTTGAACTCCAAATTTAGCATATACCCCACAATCATTCCCTAAAAATCGTGTAAGCCCTAAACCTATACCCTAAATCTATTTCAAAACTTTAAGGATACGTGTGAAAATCTCAAATGAAATGATTTATTTCGAACACCACCTAGATGATAGGGTATTTAGGAAACTTTATTTCATTAAGTTTTTTTCACATAATAATTGGATTAATAAATAAAAATTATAATAGTAAATTGAGATCTTAAATATAAATAGTCGCGCCTAAGCTCTGCCTAAATATTGGAGAGTTAGAGTGGTCCCATTATACTTAAGAACCCAACTTTAAAATTGCATTTCATCCTACATAATATTCATTGACATACATACATTAGCATGTTATCATTGGCAGTCATTTGCATTCTTTTGTCTTTAATTTTTACTATAGGATGATAAAGTATTTTATAATAAAAAGAGACTATATTTTTAAAAAAAAATATTTGTGATATTATAAAATAAAACAAAAATAATATTTCGAAAGAAATAATTTTTGGTACTCTGCCTAAATGTTAGAGAGTTATTAACAATTATCTTCTATAAAGAGTGTTATTTCATTTTAAGGATTGTTGTATTAAATCTTAAACAAAAAGAGTTATTTTAAATTCTACCTAGATGTTGGAGAATTTTAAAATAATTCTTTAACTTAAAGATTTCTTCGATACTCCTAAATAAAAAATTTTGATAAAATTAATTTTTAAAAAAATAAAAGAGAACTTATATTATTAAATATCATATCGAAACAATTTCATCCAATACTAAAAGTAGCGCATAATTAAATTGTACTAATTTATGTGGAGGTACTAATCATTTCCACACGTAATCGTCTTTCAATCTAACTTGGTTTTTCATATATCAAAATTTATCATTTTGATAAATTTTAAATCCAATTTATAGTTTTCTTAAAATGATAAATTTTTTATGATCAATCACACCCTAACAAAAATTGGTTACGACTATTTTGTTTTTTTTTATGTTTAAAATTTTTTACATCTGATGGTCTCAAAACCGTTACAGCAAACAATAGTAATAGAAAGCAAATGACTGCATCTGCAACAAGCTAAAGTTACTTGACTACTGAAATTGTTGCTTAAAATTGTTGCTTCCAACTCTTCGTTGTTGCTAAATGTGACTTGGAAACTTATTTGAATCTCTCAATGAAAATCGATCAACATTTTTGTAGTGACTTTCCTAAATCATTTTCACTAATCAAAATTCAATAATTTAACGACTGATAATTAGAACATGAGGTTGTTATGTATGTTCACTATGTATTCACTTAATTGTTTCCCCTACGATTAATCGATTTTGCCATCACTCAAAGCACTTGACCTAAGCCCATATGAACCTGGTTGTTGCATCTTCTGTTTTAATTAACTTCATATTTCTCTCTCTCTGTCTGTTGTTAATTTCGTCTGGAGCTGTGAATTCAATAAAACTGAAACGCAGAGAACCCGGTAGAACCATCTGGCAAGGACAGAGATATATATCTCAGTTGCGCGTAACATCAGATGGTCAACTTGAGAAACGACGTTAGCCTGTTCCAATCTCAGAAGTTCCAAAGCCATAACACACGTAATCAGTGATCATAATGATACAGGGGGGATTGTTCTTGTTGCTTGCTTAACCCATCGTAACGTTAAGTGGCCAGTTCGATATCATTTCTTAATGAAATATATGCAAGATAACACCAGCGTATACAAAATGACTAATCATTGACCTATAAAAAAAATAGCAGGAAATAAAACCCTTGTTTCTCATGCTTGCCATGTGTGTGATACAGTGATTAGGTAAAACCTAGAATGAAGCCAAGAAGATTATATGTGGCAGTGCCAATTCAGAGAGCATCCTCATCAGGTTCAGATCTCACAGATGAGCTGTAGAAATTGTCCTGTTTGGGTATCTCTGCCCATAAGCCAGCCAAACGTGTTTAGTCAGTGATACTTCACCTATTGTTGTGTGCTGCAAGCAGGCAGGTTCTGCAAAAGTATAGGATACAGTAGTAGTATATTTTATCAAAATCAAGTTCATTAACATTAACTATTTGTGGCCTCGTCCATGGTTCTTTTATGGCTGCTGTTTTGATTCCCAATGAGAGATTTTATGCAATTACAAAAAATGGGGAAAACAAAAAAAAAAAAAGGTTGAAATTTGGCAATTTTGATGATGCTTGAGAAGGTTACTAGTAGAAGAAACCTAGCTCAATGTATAAAATAATAGAGCGTTAATTGAACCAATGGTTACAAATTACTTACAATTACATACACTGTGCTAAATCCAAGACAGGATTCGATTCGAAACAAGACCATGTTCTGGAAGAGTTTCTTCCTTATAGAATTGAAGTGGCCATATAAGTCAATAAAAATATTTTTAGAGAAATGATCGACCAAGCACTAAGAAGGAAAAATAAAAAAAAAATCATACTTTCCGACCGAAGAATTATCGGGCCGAAAGCCCAATAAAACCAAATGGATGGCAGCCTCTATTTGGGACCAACCTATTTTAGCTTGACGTAGAGTAATTTCCTTTTTAAAATATATATATAACAGTTAATTTATCCCTTTTAGCTTGACATTTTCAAAGTAGAGTATTTTTTTTTTATGAAAAAAAATTATATAAAACGGTTAATTTATCCTATTTTAGCTTGACATTTTCAAACTAAAGTATTTTTTAAAAAATTATATAAAACGGTTATTTTTTTAGAAATATAAATAAAAAAATTATTTAAACATGTCATGTAATCACATTTTATTAAAATAAATTTAAAATTTTTTATTTGGCGACTGCTTATTATTGAAAGATATAAGATAATAAATAATTCATTTTTAATACTGTAATATTAAGAAACTTTAAGTTTATTTAGGCGCAACCCGTGACACGAACCTAATTTTGACGTCCATATTCGGTCCACTTTCAAAAGGAAAATAGAGTTATCCAACCCTTCTCAAACTTACTTGTATTTTAATTAAAAAAATAATTTTTATAATAAATATTAATTATAAGAAAATAAATAATAAACAAAATAAAATCTAAAAACTGATTGTATTAATTTAACGAATTTAAAATTTATTTAAAATTTAACTTCAGATCCATTTAAGGGATAAATTTCAAATCTCTCAAAATTTTGGAGGAATTTTCGAATTTAATCCGACCCTTCTTGACAAAGTCTAATAGAAGGAATATTATTATTATTTTTTAAGAAACAAAATTTAAAATAGGTGCTCATATTAAGACAATCAAATGATAATTTAAGACAATCATATAAAAAAAAAAATTGTAACGTATTTAATAATTTAAAATAATTAATAACAAATATTTATAGATTTACATTTAAAATAACTTCAAATTCAAACTGGAATTCAAAATCAAAACGTTTTTATTAAAAAAAAATCATATTAAAAACAATTTTTATTAAAAAAAATAAATCTTAATTAATTGCGTCAACCGGAGACGTACTATTTTTCTAAATCAGAGACAGACAGAGTCCATGAAGAATTATGAGATATGACAGGAACAAACAGATCAAAAGAAAACAGAAACAGCATTAAATATGAGTATTTCGAAAGCATCTATAGCACATCTAACATAGTTACTATGCATGTTAAGTCTTAAGGGTACTACACATAAGTAAAAATTTAAATTAAGCTTGCAAATAAGACATAACTTTCTTTCAAATAAAAAAAAAAAAAAAAGAAGCAAACCAAGTTGTAAGTATTAGCCAAAGATTTAAATTGTTGAATTTCGATTACGCCTAGCTGCTGTACCCATAGCAGCCCCCCACTCCACCAGGCGTGGTAGTCCTGTCAGGATTATTTCTCAGCTCCCCAGCTACCACCCTGTCAGCATCTTCACGAGTCACTGCCTTATCCTTAGGCAACATAAAAGTAGCATCCTGCCCAAAAATTGAAATCTTGTTATTAAAATGAAAATTAAATTTCAAATCCAATAGGAATTTTCCTTTTTGCCAATCAAAACCAATAGTCAATTCGGTATGAAGTTATTACTGATAAAACGTCCGACAGGGTAGCTTCATCTTCAAACCGCATGGTTCGTGAATTCCGAGTGGCAGCAGACTGGGCTTCGAAGGCGATGCCACCAGGCAGTACCTCGTTGCTGCGAGTCGCTCTCATTTCAGCAGCTTGAATTGCGGCTGCATCGCTATGGTCAACCGGTTTATCGGCAGCAGAAAAGGCTGCCGTCTCTAAAGCCTCTCCAACAGTAATTGGATCAGGAGCGAGCAATGTTTCTGGGGTAGTGACCGCTGAAACTTCTTGTTGAATGTATTGACCGACAACCTGTCTCAACAAAAGAACAATTTAAAGTTGTTAAGAGTTAAGACGCATACTTCTAGAGCATAAACTAAGACAATTAGTATAACTCCTAATAAAGTGACTCGATTTTCACAATATATATAAGAATTAAGAAGTGATATGATCCAATATTTGACCTCTCCACCAACGGCTTCTGTGACCCAAACTTCGCCATCTGCGTCGGACTTAATTGCCGTGGCGCCTTGTTCTCATGCAACATCAGCTTCATCGTGGCTATCGAGGCCTGCTCTTTCATTCGCAGTCGATGCAGATAGCATGACAGCTGCAGGACCATTTTTTCGTGTTTGTCCAAGGACCAATGTCTCAGCCGACTGCATGGCTGCGGCATCCTGTGGTCCAATAGGTTTTGAAGCCAGCTCACCAGTGATGTTAAAGACATCACCAAACTTGATAGGTTCCTGATCAGGGGGTTGATCAGCCCAAGGCCTTCTTGGTTTTTGTTGGCTTATAGTTTCGTTGATCGGAGGTTGTGTAATTGGGTGGGATGGACTGAAAAGGAACCGGATAAGAGCACTGTGGCCGGTGAAGGAGGTTCATGGGGTTCTTTAAGTACAGAGCCTGTGGTGCGGTGCCCCGCACAGCCACGCATAGTCATATTTTTGACACGTGGCTTGAAATTACAAGTGTTGGCGTCAAGGAGAGACTTGTGGAAGCGGAACCACTACGACAGATGGCATAGGAAATGGAGTCAAGACGTACGTGGCTCGGTCACAGGGACCAAACTTAAAGGAAGTTTATGAAATTTTTATTTTTATAAATAATTTTAATAAAAATTTTATTATGGTTAATTGGAATGGGTTGTTATACAATTTTTTGATAAAAAAATAAATAAAAACTGTGACCTAGTAAGCCTTAATCAAACAGCCGCTTTGTTTCTATTTATTAAAATTGAGTATATATTTGTGCTTTACTTTTAAAAGTATTTAATTACTTGAAAATACTAAATTAATATTTATGAAAAAAGCTAATATGTACTATCGTTGTTTTGGTGAAAATATTTGAAAGAAAAGACTCCAATCTTTTCTTTGGTCTCTCCTCTCTTGAAAATCGTCAGCTCTTCTCTTAATTTCTTAAAGTTTGCCCAAATACTTAATCAAGAAAAAATCTTTTCTTTCAATGCTTTATAATCTGCAGGATAAAATTTAGAGAAATAATTTTATAAAATAATATTTAAACCACATAAATTTATATTTTCTTTAACTCATTTAAAATCAAGCCATATCTTTTACCTTCCGTTCATTTCCAGTGAAACATAATCAACTCATTTTTCTCATAAAACTTAAGATATTTTTTATTTGTATTATAAAAAATATATTATAGTAATTTTAATATATTTTTACTAACTTATTGGGACCAATTCTGAAGATTCAAATTTCAATCATTTGACTTGGATTTGACCAACAGTAATAACACATAGGGTTTTGAATTAATGACCAATTTGTAACCACATCTAGTCTATTTCTATATGTCCTTATGATATATATATATATATATATAATTAACTAAGAAACTACTTTAATTTTGAAACAACTCTACAGCTTCATGCGTGGTCATGGATAGTGTAAATTCTATATCTTGGACGATCAAGTTTCCTATCAGAACTCAGAAGGCTATTTTTATTTTAACATAAATGACGATTACTTTTATGAATTAACACTGCTAAATTACTGACGATACGGCTCTAAGACATAATGACACATAAATTTAATTCCATAAAGAACTTTATATGCTAAATGCTATTAACAACAAAGTTGCTCTGCCCGTTATCCGTTATCTTAAAGCCTAAAGCCTCCGATATAACTGCCTTTACTCTCAAAAACGTCATTCCCTCTTATTTCGACTTACCCTAGCAGCTGAAGCCATCGTTGCCGCCACCCCACCAGGCGTTGTACTCTCAGCAGGCTTGACCGTCCGCTCTGCCCGTATTACCTCTTCAGCATCTTCATCTGTCGCAGCTTTATCATGGTGCAACCTTACAGAAGCATCCTGTCAGCGAAGAAGATCACATTATGAAATGAATTAAAAGTTGGATAAGAAAAAATATATATTCCATTAATTATTCTAATAATCTAAACTGAGGGCTTTAAAACAATTACGGAGTTGTAATTACCGGTAAAACGTCAGAGATGGTGATCTTATCTTCGTCTCGCGCTGCACGGGCATTGAAAGTGGCCGCAGACTGAGCAGTTGCGCTTAGGCCACCAAGTTGTCTATCACAGCGGACAGTTGCTCTCGTCTCAGCTGTTTGAATTGCAGCTGCATCACTTGGGTCAATCGGTTTGTCGGCAATAGATAGAGTTGTTGCTTCTAAAGCTTCTCCAACGGTGATGGGTTCCTGGTAGGAATATTCGTCGACCTCAGGCTTTCTTATCTGTTCCAGGCTCATTTTTGTGCAGAAAAAAGTCTGAATATTGAGATTTGAGATGGCTTAATGTTAGAAGGTTTATAACCAGCCAGATATGTTTAAAAGCATATATATAGCCACATTATAATGTAAGTTTACACGTTTTAGCAAGGTAGCGGGACATTTGGAAGTTGCATTGCCAAGTGTTGGCGCCATTTCATGCATGGCTTTGGTGACCCCAAAATTTGCGAGACATATATACAATTATATCTATACATTATATCCAGATTATAAAATTTTAGTATGAATACTTTCCGAGAAAAAGATAAAGATGAATGAGCATGAATTTGCCGTTGTCGCAAACTAGGCAAGGTCTGAGCAACTGAACTAAAAAAGGAGTAGAACAAAACTCTCTTTCGTTCTCTTCATCTTTCAACTTCTTCTTTTTAGATATCTTCATTTCTTGGGGGTAGGGTTTCGCCGTTTTGGTACTAACTTTGCATTAACATTTGTACCATTGTTAATAATCGATGAAACGGAAAGCAAACAGCAACTATGGATAATGCAAATTAATTATCTTAACTTGACTTGTCAGCCGCAAATTCATTCATATTATACTTAACTTAAAGTAGATTCTTTTCCTAAAATGGTAAGTGATTCGGCAAAGATCTAGTCATTCGCCGTTTTTACTTTCAACCCTAATTTTAGTTAGTACTCGATTTCTTCGCTCATAAATAAAATGATTGGTCGTTTTTCTATAAGCAAATCAATTTTGGTTTTCTAGTAGAAAACATCTAGAGTAGGTAATTACCTTTCAATTTTTTTATCTTAATTGATGCAATACTAAACATTTTTTGCCAAAAAAAAAAAATTTCATTGATATTTGAAGAATATTACAGCTTTCATTATTATAGTTGATTTATCTTATTTTTCTCAGCCTATTATTACAACTCGACCGTCTCTTAGATTCAAATTTGCAAACACATATATATGTTGTCACCTTTTTACAAATTAGAAAATTAAAAAATAAAAGCTTAATACTCAAATGTATCCTCAACTTTTAGTAAAAATAGAATTAAATCATTATTTATCATTCATTATTTTAATTAAATTTTACAAAATAACTTAAAAATTATTCTAATTGGACTTTTTAATTTTTTTTTTTAATTTTGATTATAATTACAGAAAATAAATGATAATATTCTTATTTACGTACATGCCCTTCACCATTAAAAGAACTTTTATGGACCTCAAAATTGGAAGAAAGAAAAAAGTCTCATCCAAATTTCAAAGGTCAATCCTTGAATATAAGACGTTTAATGATCTTTGTTGAAGACATCAGAATTCCTGAAATTTCACTTATTATTTATTAATAATAAACATAAAATAACAATTTCAGGTGATGAACTTGATAAAATTTAGAAACCATTTACCTTTTTAGTTCATCTTCCCCTTTATCAAGCTAAAATATCATCGACTTGAAATATTAACAATTCATTACGGATTTCTAATTTCTTAGCTCGGATCCACTATGGATCCATATAATTAACCAGTAAGCAAAAAAAAAAAAATCCCTTTTTATTCTATTGATCATCGAGGGCTGAGTGCAAACAATCTCAACTTTGATTTTTTTCCCAGTCAAAAATTGGGGCCTCATTCGTCTATAACTCTTTATAGTGAGAGACCAAGCGCTATTTTTTGGTTTAAATCTTAGTTTTTAATTAACAACTCACAAGAATTTTAAATTAGTTTATCGATCGGAGATTCTACTTTGGACAGCAAGTTTTGAAGAAAAACACCACGACAGTTTATTAATGATTCAAAGGAAACTTCAGAACAGGACCAAGATACCATATATAAATTTTTCGTAGTATATGCATGTCATTTTGTCTGCATGACAGACTCCTGGACTTGCTACAAATTTTAAAGTTATAAACATGTAACAGTGCTACTATAAATTAAATGCATAAAAGCTTCACGCGCTGTCATCTTGGAGGTTTACGCTAGCAGCTTTTGCCATCGTATCCGCCACTCCACCAGCCGTGGTAACTGCTTCGGGCTTGCTTCTCAGCTCCACACCTCTCACCTCTTCGGCCACTTCACTTGTCGCCGCTTTATCTTGAGGCAATTTTCAAGCAGCATCCTTTCGGAAAGAAAAATCCCATAAAAGAATTCATTTACTTTTACTAAATATGCATTCTAAATGAAAGGAAAAGATTTGTTTGTGGTTTCTTAATATTACCGATAACACATCAGAATTTGTTATCTTAGTGACGTCCCGGGCTGCACGGGCATTGAAACTGGCTGCAGCTTGGACATTGGCGCCCAGCCCACCACGTTGTCTATCGTCACAGCCGGCGGCTATCGTTTCTGCGGTTTGTATTGCAGCTGCATCACTTGAGTCAACGGGTTTATCGCCAACGGATATAGTTGTTGTCTCTAAAGCTTCTCCTATAGTAATGGATTCCAGGTCGAAATATTGATCGACCTGAGGCCTTCTTGGCTGTCCCTGGCTCAGTTTTGTCTAGAGAAAAGGGCGTCTTTTGATTTATTCAAACCGAAAATTGTAAAGGGAGACCGGTGAATGCTTTGTAGGGTCATTAATTAGTGGTCTATAAATATACCGTTGCTGGACTTGCGCCCGGTATTGTGAGTGTCCTGTTCATTTAATTTTGACGTGTAAGTTTACACGCTTTAGCTTGGGAGGGAGACGGTTGGAACTATCGTTGGCAAGTGATGGCAGTCTCATGAATGAATCCTAAATGCAAGCTTATTGAGATATGAACAGCAAAAACAAGTTTCTAAGATGAATTATCCAGAGTGTTGGGATATGATTCACATATGACCAGAGAATTCTACATCATTAGAAAATCTAAATTAGATATTTTATATATGCATGAATGATCTAAAAACCTAATAGCTTCTTTTGAGCTCAAATTGTGTCTAACATGTATATATGGACTTTCTGGTGTGCTTCCATAGGCTTCAAATGTGATTTATTTCTCCAACAAATGGTATTAAAGTAAAAAAGTCATGGATTCGAGCCTTAGTAATATTATTGGAGAAAATTATTAGGATATGGTTCACATGTAAATAGCTTAAACTTTTGGACTTTAGTGTTATTTAACATGTATGTATGAACTCTCTGGTGTACTCATATGGGCTCCAAGTATGGTTTATTTCCCCAACAGAGAATTGACCATTTGCTGCCGACTTGGCTAGACCTGAGCATCGAAAGTTTCTCTCCTTTTCCTTTCCTTCTTCTTTCTGTTTAGCTTCATTTTTTGGAGGCTTTGCCAATTACAGGTAATTCTATATATTATTTGAAGATTCATCTCCCTTTGCACATACAAATTATAAATGCAATGTTAAACTGATTTTCATTTTTCAAACTAGATGTAATGTTGTCAACTATTGCATAGGATAGTTTGAACGTTTTGATGTCCTATGCTTTGAAATTTAACTTCTTATTGTCCACCAAAAGACTCATGGATAACTAATCTGAAAGAGATAAGATTTATTTATTTTTTATACAAACATCATAAGAGAAAGAGAGAGGATAAAGACTTTTAGTTAAAAAGAGAGACAAGGAAAAAGGATAAGAAATGAAGAAATTAGTTGAGAACTACGAACCTAATAGTTTAAGTTTTGGGCTCAAATGATGTTTAATATATATATATATGAGTTCTTTAATATGCTCTCATGAGCTCTAAATGTGATTTATTTTTTCAATAGAGAATTGGTCATTTGTTGCTAATTTGGCTAGACCTGAGCGTCAAAAGTATCTCTTATCCTTTTCCTCTCCCTTTTCCTTCTATTTAGCTTTATTTTTTGGAGGCTTTGCCAATTACAGGCAATTCTATATATAATTTGATAGTTCATCTTATTTTGCACATGCAAATTATAAAATGCATTGTTAAATTGATTTTCATTTTTCAAACTGGATGTAAAGTTGTCTAACTATTATATAGGATAGATTTGAATGTTTTGATATCTATCTATACTTTGAAATTTAACTTCTTATTGTCCATCAAAAAACTCAATGATAACTAATATGAGAGAGATAAGATTTATTTATTTTTTATACAAACATTAAAAGAGAGAGAGAAAAGATAAAGACTTTTATTAAAAAGAGAGAGAGGGAAAGAGAATAAGAAATGAAGAAATTTATTGGGGATTAAAAACCTAATAGCTTAAGTGTTGGGCTTAAATAATATTTAATATATATGTATAAATTTTTTAATATACTTTTATGATCTTCAAGTGCGATTTATCTCCCTAACAACTAAATCTGAGCATCAAAAGTTTCTCTCCTCTTTTTCCTCTCCCTCTTCCCTTTATTTAGCTTCATTTTTTGTAGGCTTTGCCAATTACAGATAGGTCTATATATAATTTAATGGTTTATCTCCCTTTGCACATGCAAATTATAAATGCACTGTTAAACTTATTTTCATTAATTTTATATACAATTTGATGGTTCATCTCCCTTTGCACATGCAAATTATAAATGTACTGTTAACTTGATTTTCATTCTTCAAATTGGATGTAAAGTTGTCAACTATTGCACAGGATAGATTTGAACGTTTTGATGTCTTTCTATACTTTGAAATTTAACTTCTTATTATCCATCAAAAGACTCGAAGGATAACAAATCTGAGAGAGACGTGATTTATTTATTTTTTATACAAACATCAAAAGAGAAAGAGATAGGATAAAGACTTTTAGTTAAAAAGAGAGAGAGGGAAAGAGGATAAGAAATGATGAAACATGTTGGGCCTACGATTTGAATGAAACAACATCTCAACCGGTCAAAATATGCAAACAATGTTTTTGTACTTATATGGTTAAATTAATTAGATTGGAAAGAAGCCAACCAGGTATTTTACCTGGATTTAGGTTGAAGTTTTATCGTGTGGATTTGATTATTTAATTAAATTATAATTTATTAATTAATTATTTAAATAATATAATATTTAATATGATTGTAAATATAATTTCAAAAAATAAAAAATTAAATTGAAAAAAAAATCTCAATTATATACTTTGCGCAGTCTGCATAACGTATCACAATCTCATTTCAAAAAGTTTCAAAAAATATTTATTCCAGTAATTTGAATCAGAGACGTTAAATCTAATTTTTTTAAAATTTATATTATTTATTGTTTTGTTGGAAAATCATTTCTAAAATGAATTGATTGCTTAATAATTGAGAAAGTTGTTTAAACATTAAGTGAAATTAAGTAGTGTTTGATTTTGAAAAAAAAATAGAGGTATTTTATTTATTTATTTAGAGAATAAAAAATAAAAGTAAATATATATTTAGTAATGAAAAATAAAAAATAAAAATAAGTTTAAATATAAAAAAATATTTTTAATTATAAAAATAAAGAATGCTTATTATTTTTAACTTATATTTTACAAGATAAGAAGTTGGTTCATATTTGAATACTTTTGAAAGTTACTAATTAATAAATATATATTATATATTTATAATTAGATATTATTAATAATAATAATTTTATAATTATTTTTTATTTTGTATTATTAAAAATAATTTTTATTTTTATTTTTCAAATATATTATTTTAAATAAAAAATAAAAACTATTTCCCAAAAATTAAAAAACAATAAATATTTCTCAAACAAAAAGTAATGTTTGGTTTTCACTGTGTAACAATCTTACTCTTTATTGTACTATATTAAAATTCAAATGATTTTTTTAAAGTTTCACAATAAAAATAAAATTAGTAACCTTTTAATCAGAGAGAGGTGGCGAAGTCAAAGTGATTGAGTTGAAGTTCTAGATTGTCAGACAATGTCTTTCAACAATTTTTGTACATATTTTATGGCAATAAACAAATAAAATAATCAAAACTCATCAAAGCAAACGTCTGTGGGATCCCTCCGTCATGTGCGCGCAATGATAATTTAGGTGCATATATCAGTTTATACACGTTTTGGGGTGAATAAAAGTAGATTTGAATAGATTAAAATTAAGTAGATTTGATTGATTTTATTTGATTTTAATTATAATTAATTTTTTAAATTAATTAAATTAATTAGTTTGATTAATTTTTAATTTTTAAAATGAATAATTGAATTGATTAAATTAATTAATTTTTTAATGAATAAAAATAAATTTTGAGATAAATATTTTTATTTATTTATTTATTAAATATTATTAAAATTATTAAATTTTTTGTGATTTAATTTGAATGATATTTGAATTTTAATATTATTAAATTAAATTTATAATTAAATAATTTTTTATAATAAAAAAATTAAAAATTTTGATTATTTAATTAAAACAATAGAATCAAATCGATTTTGATCAATTTAATTATAATTAATTATTTAAAAAATTTTAATTAATTTAATTATTTATTAAATAAATATTAATTAAATTAATTATTAATTTTTTCAAATCGCATCAACTAATTACTTACTCTTATAGGCATTCAAAGCCAAACACCGTAAGATCATCTTTCAATAAGTTGCTTAATAGCACCACTTTTTCTAATATATCATTATAAAAAAAAAGTCTATGCTTTAGGTGCGTATTAATTATTAATTAATCACAATGAAAGAAAAGCTTGGAAAGAAGATGGTAGTTGTCACAATAAAAAAACCCAAATCTGACCTCCAAAAAATCTTATTCCATAAAAAACATTTATAAGAAAAAAAAAGAAATAAATCACAGAAAGCATTAATAGTAATATTGAATAATTGGATTTAAGTTAATATTAAAAGAAAAAAAAGTAAAGTTAAATGGCAATCTATAAAAGTAGGGAGTTTGGCATAGGCTTGGGCACAATGCAAACCAAAAGTCTCAATTACACTTTTTTTTTTTTTTTTTCCCTTAACCAGCTTTTAACTTTTTTGACCCAACAAACAAGGAACCACTTGATGCTAAACTCATTTTTCTTCAAAATTTTGATACCAATAGTACGCTTTTGATCGGACGTTGTATAGTAAAAGAGTGGCGTAGATGGACGCCCCAAGATCGGGCACGTGTTAGTTGGTGAATAGTAATCAGGAATCAGCGCCCTTCTCCCACTACACTCCAACTAACCGAGCTTTTTAGCTTTATCTTTTGTCGGGACCAACTTCATTGCCTTCAACTTTTATGCGTCCGATTCCGACATATAAGTCCTTTCATTTTTACTGAAATACCCTTGATTTTTTTGTTTTTTGCATTTTCCCCATCTAATAATGTTCCATTAAATGGGACAAACCTACTTACCAAGTCTTAACGATGTGATAAATGCAGGGCAGCCTAAATTACTGTAATATCCTTTTTTTATTTGATGGAATAATAACTTAAGTGCAAATCGCATAAAAATAAATTAAAATTTTAAAAAATTTGAAGAAAATATCATCCCAATAAGTAGTACATTTTTACATAAGTGTGAAACTATTTATGTAGCTCATTTTGTGTGGATTTTTTTTCATGTAGCTCACTTTGTGTGGATAGAAGAAAAAAATTATTTTGATAGGAAAATTAAATGATTAGTTTTTTAAGGAAAAAAACTAAAAAAGAAAGTATCGCACTTGAATTTTAAAAAAATTTATATTTTCACAAGTCAATGATATTTTATTTTTATTTGAATAAAATAAAATATTTAATTTTAAATTAAATAAACACTCAAGTGTTTTGTTTTAAATTGATTTTTTTTTGGGTAAATTGAACATTTAATATTGTAAGATGTAACTATATATTTTTTTATAAAAAATTAAAAATGATTTCGAGGGTAAAACAGACATGAAAAATGTCATTATTTTCTTTTATGTCAAAATCGTAAATAAGGTCAAAACGAGGCCCACTTTTCTAAAAAAAAAAAAAAAAAAGAGTTAACGGAGGTGCACGCAGTACAAGTGTGATATTTAAATATAACTGTGAGGAAGTCATCTAAGATCCGTGGGATTCTGCTTCCTTTGTGTCTCTTATCCTCTACAAGGTCTCATTTTCACGGCGTTTTGATTTGATCCCACAAAAAAAAAAAAATCCTCAAAAAAGTAGAAGCCAAAAGAAAACAAACAACGGAATAAAATTTTTCATGACCTCATCGTTCACCAGAAGAAGGAAGAAGAAGAAGAAGAAGAAGAAGAAGAAGAAACCCTCAGTCTTCAGATCTAACATTATCAGATCACTTCACTCTTAACATTTCTGAAGGGCCAAATTTTTTCTGGTAATTTTTCCACTCCCAAGTTTCACACGAGAAAATGACTGTCAAATTTCTGTTTGTTTGCTCTTAGTTTAGGATTCAGGGTTTATTCCATTTCTCAATTTTATTTTTTTCCCTTTCTTTGTACAGTTTGATGATTGATGCTTGTGATCTACGAAGATCTTGTCTGATTCGAGGCAAAAGAGTTGTGGGTTTTTATTATTACATGATTTTCTTTTGAATCTACTGAGTTTCTGATCAGTAATTCGAGACAAAAAATAAATCTTTTTTATTTTGGTACCATCTTGTTGGATATACGATGGCGAAGATATAGAAGTTCAGTCTCGTTTTGAGTATATTTTAGCCTTAAAGGTTTGACCTTTATTATATTTCAGTGTCCTTTAACGAGGATTTAGTGGATTTAGAAGAAGTTGGGTTTTTTTTTTTCTTTGTTGGGTTATCAGAGGACCGACTTGAATCGTTGAATCTGTGGGTTTTTATTATCAAAATTAAGGAAAGTATGGAGACTCTTGTTGTGGTGGCGCAAGATAAGAATCAGTACTGTAGCACGGTGAAGCCACATGGGCCAGCCCGATTTGGGTCATCACCATCTAGAAACTTCAGAGGGATTAACTGTAGGACTTTTCAATCTGGAGCAGGATTACTGCCAACCCCGTTTAAGTATGGCTCTACTCCTATAACCAAACTCTCATATTCCCCTCCCTCTTCGTCATCATCATCATCATCTTCCCCACAAACACCTCCTCCTTTTGCTGATGGAACACACTCGAAAACTACCAGGAAAAGCTCTCCTATTCCTATCAACAACAAAAGAACCCCTAGAAATGATAAGTCTTTTAATGAGATCTCGGGGGAAGGTTTTCTGTACTCTGAGCTTTGGGCTGGACCTGCTTATTCCAATTCACCGCCCCCTAGCTCTTTGCCAATACCCAAATTCTCACTTCGTGCGAAGAGGACTGTGTCCCTTGATTTGCCTGCTGCTAACCCTGTTGTTGATGTTCACCCAACCGCCAAGTCTGCACCTGCATCTCCTACCAGGGAGCTTAATCCTTCTGTAGCTGAAATTTTTCGTAGTGCTGATTCTGCGACTAAGACTTTACGTCGCATTCTCAATCTTGACAACACTGATGACTGAAAAGAGCAAAGGAGCTTTCAGCTCCTGTAAATAAGTTTACTCTGCAAATTTGGAGTTAGTTTTAGATTGTATATAGATCGAATAAGATGATTGGTAACATGGGTCAGTATGAGTTTGTTTGGCCTTCTTTGGTGGTGGTATGAAAAAAAGTGATGGCAATGGTAGGTCGACAGTCTCCAGATTTTGCTTTATGAATTGATGGTTTGTGAGAGTATGGTGCTGGTTGTGAAAATTTTGATTAACAAGATGCACAAGGTATGTGACGTGTGGCTTTTGTACACTTGGATGGAATGAAAGATGACTCAAGCTGTTGAGGAAGCTGAAGGGAGCTTACATTAGAATCAAAGTTTGTCTGCTCTCCTTCGGCATGAAATTGCACAGATAACTGCCTTCTTATCTCTTGGGCTTGAAGAAAATTATGTACTTGTTAGTTGAAAACTCTACTATATCAAGTCCTTGGTGGTTAGTGTCAGTTCTGTTGTTGACTGTTAGCTAATTTCTTCCTTTAACATCAGATACAATGTATATACTGTAGTCTGTAGAATCTCCTCTGAATTGCTTTCCCAAATTCCTTAGGTTTCTCTTTTATTCTTTTTCTCATCATCTTTATTTCCTTGGTCTACAATCAGTGTCCTTTGTTTCTAAGTCTAACTTTGATTAGTCCCTTTGTTTCTTTTTTTCAACCTTGCCTCAACTAGCCTGCCTAGATTATCCTTTGTTTTTCTTGCAACTTTTTTACTTTGTCCATCATGGCGTGAATTGTCAGCTTAAATATCAAATATCCTCAATATACTCTTCTTTTAGTAAGGATTTCTCTACTCCGCACTCTGTAAGGGTGTCATTCTCTCACCATCTTTTTCTGTTTTTTTAAAAGAAAAAGTGGGAGGGGGAAGTAAAGTGGTTATTTGTCACTTCTGCTTCTGAAGCTTGTTAGGTTAATCAGCGTCGTCATGCCCAGTTGCGAGTGATGTTTATGTCTTGTTCATCCTATAATGGGTAATGCCACTCGGTCGTGTTCATAGAGCCCATCTTTCTTGGAGATTGTTGACTGTGCCAAGCTACTTAAAAGGTATTTTCTTTTCCATGAAATTTAGTTTAGATTATTATTTTAGTTTAAAAAATCATTGTTAACCGTTACTAATTATATGCTCTATACATATCTTCAGGGAGCTGCTGGGATAAGTATTTCAGGAGGCGTTTGTTAAAGTGGATTTGTTCATGTTGGATATAGTCTTTAATGCAAGTCTTGTAGGAACCATATCTGCGTCTGGCACATGTCTCCGAAATGTTTGATATCAGTGTCTTTGCCTTCCAACGAGGTCTTTAAGCAGTAGCTTGTGTTGGACCATGTTTTTCTTTAGTGCCATGTTAATGTTCAGAGTGCAATAGATATATGTTCTTTTGTACTGGCGTTAGTGCAATGTGAATGTTCGGAGTGCAATAGATATATGTTCTTATGTACTGGTTTTTACTTGTATTTATCCGTTGTGCTGCGAAGTATGCTGGAATATCAATTTATTGGAATGTTAAATTATGGTAGTTTCTCACTTCAGCCCTGGTAACTTAAGGCCTGAAATGCTCATATTCTTTTGTCAAAGTTCGAATTTTGGAGTGAACGAAAAAAGAAAAAAAAAGGTAGTCAGTGCTAGTGCTTCTTTTAGCGGGTGGTGGTTTAAGGAGGAACATTTTATTAACTCTAAACACGACGTTGTTGCATCCCGGTTTTGAGAGAAACGTAGTTGGCTTGGTCCCAGCCTAACAAGCCAGTTACCAAATCTGGTGGTTACGGTAAGTGAGGAGAAGTTGCTAATCTGTTGGTTTTTTGGCCAAAGCATCAGAACTGGAATTGGCTTATCTGGAAATGTGGACTATAGTCACCCTTTCAAACGGTCTCCAGCAACGGTAAACTTGTGGGTTACGATTTCATTGCTAATTGTATCTTTGCAGAGGAAGTAGCCAACACATCAAATGTTCGAAAAACTTTATCCTAAGATTTACTGGCAACTGAAGACCGTTCCTCACTTGTCACTGCCGATTACTCAGCCATTACACTAGGAGCTCCATCTCCAAAGCCTTTAAAGATCATGGATAAGACCGGCTTGCACTCTCCTTCCCGAGGGCCAAGATTGGAGGAGGATGCTCCGTAGGTGTATAGCAAAGACCAGTAACATGAAAAAGGAAAAGTGATATCGGATCATCAATTAATATAAAAACTAAAGTTGAATGAGTTTTGAACCATAGTCCATACGTGTCGATCTAATAATTCTGATACATAATGAGCGACAAGGCATGTGTAGATTGTAAACATTAATGCTCGTAAAACGAATCGGACCACCTTTTGTTATTTTGATAATTAATGTTTAGCTTGTCTAGTTTCGCCTGGGTGACTTGAGTCCAAAATTGATCTACAAGAGTTTGTCACGTGTATATATATTGCCCTTTTTCTTTCAGCACGGATATTTTGCATTTTGATAGTTGAAATGGAGATGGTTTAGGAGGCAGAGTTAAACGGCTGTTAAAGATGCAATAAACCTGAAAATTACCGCAATCGATGGTGTCTTGCGTTTCATTAGATTATGTGGAGAATGGGTTTAACCTAATAATGGTTTCCGGGGACGACATTGATGTTATACACCTTTGAAAAGATTCACATGAAAATGCAATAATGTTCACCTTTTTCGGAAAACCTAAGTTTACCTGTATAAATTAAGCAATCTAGCTGGCAATTTTCTGTTTTCTCTGAGAGAAGCAATCTTCTGTTGAATATATTTCTCTGATGCCTTTTTTTTTTCTTGATTGTCATGTTTTAGTTAGAGTTTCTCAAAGCAGTGCATTTGTTACAATCAAGTTGCATTTCCACCCAATTTATTTTAGTTACACCTTTGAAAAGATTCACATGCAATGTTCAACTTTCTCGGAAATGCCAAGTATACCTGCATAATTTGGTTTCAATTAAGAGCAAGTTGATAGCTTGTTGGAGGTTGGATAGCATTTATTATTTCTCTTTTTTCCTTTTCCTGATCCAGCTCCTCTCCAACTTTTCTACTCTTCGTTATGATAGTATCTGATTCCATTACAAACCATACTTAATACAACAAATCATAGTATTTTACCCAATTTGCCAACGTTTCATATAGGAAAAGTAGGTTGTTTTCTCTTAATTTGCTTAATGCAAATTATCAGTACTGCTATTACTGTTCTCACATTATTATCATCATTACTAGGAATATTATATTTCCTTTTCCTTGTGAAAGGATGGAGCAAGAGGGACCTGGCATTGATGTGGGCTGATAACTCATGTTGAAAAAGCTTCTTTGTTACAATTTTTAATATTTGGACTTATCTCTGCACAAATGATCAAAGTTCCCCACTGCTGCTGATATTTAATTGGTTTACTCCTGTAAGTATTGATCTAGAAAGAGACTAGAGTTTGGATCTATTTCAGTGAAAAAGTCAGTTTCATATATTAAACTTCCATGATATTCCTTGAGATGTTTCTTTCTCAACCAAAATTGACAAAGATGGTTATGATATGATATCCGGAAAGTGACAAGAAACACAATGGTATAAGAATCTTCACCAGTGAAATAATTGGCTTCTCTGTTGAAATTATTGGTATGATATTGTTGTGAATGGAAAAAAAAAAAGGAGGAAAAATACAAAAGAAAGAAAGATAAGGCTAGTTTTCAATCATGCATCATCACCTTTTGAAAAGCCAAGGAAAAAAACTATTGTGAAAAAAGCCCATTGGCAATCATATAAATTACTCGAACAAAATTAATTCAAGTCTACATTATCTCATCCTCTCTTATGTATTTATGCAGGGGAGAGGGTTAAAAGAAAAAGAAAAAAAAAAAGAAAGAAAACTAAACACTGTAAGAAAAAAACTGGCAATTTTGGTTTATGGAATCAATCATTTGCAAATTGCAATTGAAAACTATTTCTCCAAGAGGTAATGAAATTCTTAGTTCTCCTCTCCATCCAGGAGCATTTCTTGATAGCGGCACTCCTGACTGCAAAAGGCTTTCTCACCTCTGCATTACAGTGTTAAAAATTATCAGACTATCTATTTCAACTTTAAACTAAACAGAATCCGGTTTTATCAGACAAAAAAAAATTGGATTTCAGGGAGAAGAAAAAGGAGCCGAACCTGTAAATGTAAATGTCAATTTTCTGTTCAAGATTCTTCTTGCATGTGTGACAAAAGCTGAGGAAACTCTCTGGTGCAGACTTGGACTTATCCGATACACTGCAGTAGCTCTTGACAATGCAGTTATCAAATATATGGGTGGTTTTGGGATTAGGCCCGTGAGATATCACGCGTGTATAATCCTCAGAGAGCTCCATTTCCCTAACAGGAAGACATCCAGTGTAGACACGAGGAGAATCCTTTGTATAGATACCAGAAATGGGAGATGATAAACGTGAATTCCTGGTCTTGATTCCAAAATCAGTTGGAGATTTTGGAGAATTAGCGGGAGAAACTGAAGGTGGGAGGGGAGGAATCTGAACTCTGAGCTCGGTCCCGAACAAAACCTTTTTGTTACGTGTCTCGAAAGAACTCTTATCCTCATTTGGCCTATCGTTGAGAGTATCGACTATAGCAAGACCAATACCTTTTGATTCAATTTTTTCAGGTGAGTGCTGTTTGTTATCAGGTGAGAAAACTTTTTGGGATTTTGGCTGGTTTTTATCATAACCAAAGGGGTTACTAAAAGGAAAGAATGTTTTGTTGTCAAGGATTGCAGTAGGACTCTTGACAGCTTCAGTCTCGGTGAGACCTTTTGTGGTGAAAGCTTTAAATCTTGGAGAACCAAAGAAAGATGGGATTGGTCTATTGCAATTCTGGGCAGGGGATGACTGAAAGCTGTGATCAGCCATCAAAGCTTGCTTGCTAGTCACTGCTTTGGACCTATTTCTCAGCATAACTACCTCTTATCAGGTGTATATCAGCCCCAAAATTTGTAATATGAAACAACTGCAGCAATAAAGGAAAGAATCAGATTAATTAAAGGAACATGAAACTGAAAGGCGAGAGATGGGTCAGAAAAGGCATGAACTAACCTGGGAATGATTAATGTCACACTACCATGAATTGCTGCTTGCGCTAGTCACACAAATCCACCTTCAGGCGTTCAAAAGTAGGCAACAGAAAATTTTTAAAAAAATGAAAACGATTTCTCTGTTTATCTGCCGAAAGTCTAGTGGAAATCCCTCTCAAACCTTACACACAACTCCATGCAAGTTCTTTTATTTGCGAAAAACAAAAACGCACCCTGGGAAATTGAAATGCTTCCCAAATCTCTGTAGCCTCCATGACAGAACAGTTAAAAAGAAACAAATTAAAAAAAAAAAAAAAACTGGGTTTCTCTATTTCTCGTCTTTTGTCTCAGTTTCTTCGATGAACTGCGTCAACAAGGACAAGAATCGATACCCATCATAATAACCCGCATGCAAAGCACATGATAAGAGCAGGCACGATCAACTACTCTGCCCTTTTTTGTACTGCAAAAGACCTGTATCTATCAACAGTCCTGGGTGTTTCGAGCAAATATAGTATAAATGTTTGCTACTCCCTATGAAATGAAAACCATCGTCACCATCATGTAAATATGAAATATTGAAAGATAAGCCTCAGTACTTTCTTTCTCTCTGATGTCTGTAGTTTTACTTTCTCTTAGTGGGCTCTCATTCTTGACATCAATTCACTCTGCCAACGTCTTCTTTATTGATCAGTTTATTCAGCCCTGCAAAATCGCCAGGAATTTGCGATACTTTGCAAAAGAGAGAGAAAAGATGAGGAGAAAAAAAGCTTTAGCTTAAAAGGGTAGAGTTTTGTTGTTGGGTGCGTCTTTTAAAGAGAGAAAAAGAGAGGCCTATGCAACTACGCATGAGAAGTAGTGGGTTTTTACAGTAAAAGCCTGAAAACATCCAGCGACAATTCCTTTTTTTTTCTATCTATAGAAACTGAACTGAGTTTTGTCGTTTTCTGGAGTGAGTTTCGATGTCAAGAGTTAATTGTATTCTGTCCTGACTTTCTTGTTCTGCTGTTAATCTTTCACTGTGTTCTGCGGTTTTCCTATTCAGAAATAAAAGCACGCACTCGAAGGGAATGATCATGATGTCACAGCTGAGCAGTAAAAAGCTTTACCGTGTCAGGTTTTCTAAGTATTTACAGACACTTTCTTTTTCCTTCAATCAAATTCAAACCCACTGTTGCCATTTCAATTTTCAAAGACAAGCCAACGTCTTTTTTTTTTTTGGCTGAAACCAAGTCAATATTGCTGATATTTGCTATGGTTTAGTCCATTTATAACCGCTGGAAAGGAGAAGAAAGAAACCATTGAATGACATAAGCCTTTTTAAGGATTGTTTAAGTACTTTAAAATTGGGAGGGGATTAATAATTTTGGTTGTTTAGTACTAAAGAAAACCTGTTTTCTCTTGAATGTCCCTCTGTTATTTTTGGAAATGTCATTTGGTTACTGAATGTTTTGATAAAAACACAAGTACTCTCAGAGCACAAATGAGCTACCAAAGTTCAGCCTTATAACAGAGTTCCATATATAGGGTTTGTGGCAATGAATATTGCTTTATATACCAAAAACAGATTATCTTAGTTCTATAATCTTAAATCTCAAATCTACTTCTCTTTCCAAAGAATGAAGCAGTGAATAAATCATCTCATCTGTAATTTTGTTGCATTGTTTTCTCCTCTATCTCTCCTCTATTTACTCTTCGCTGTTTTTTTTATCTAAACTCTCATGCAAATGAAGAGTAGCTGTGAATGACAGACAATGGAACCTGAAACTGCACCTTGTTTAACCATGTAATAATAAAAGGGGTTCTGTAAGTTCCTGTGTCTTTGTCCTCAAAGCATTCATTGATGGGTCCAAGTAAGGTTGGATAGAAGAAGGGGTAACTTTATTGTTATTCTTTGACTGTACTTAAATCTTCATAAATCATAATATGCTTCACTGACTAACTCTCTTTCCAATGAAAGCTCAGGGCTTTGGATAAGTATCAAAAGGCATTTTTAAATACAGAGATTGAATACCTGAAAGATATGGCATTGGTCATTCCTTCAAGGGCCTGCCCAAGGATAGCCTTCAGTCAAACACCAACAATTGGGCTGGTCAGGTCAGGTCAGGGGAGGTGATTATGCCATTGTAATTAAAGTTGAGTTACTTATACCGGTTTTCGGAACTAGTCTTTTGCTTAGTTGATTGTACTCTCCTTGAAATTGAATTCTCCAGAGAATCAAGATTGCTTTAATCATCTTTCCCTTTTTTCTTTTTTCTTCATCTTCTTCTTGTACCAATTACTCAGTTGATCCTAACCGTAGCGAAAGAAAATTGTTTAGCTGCAGGGGAAGCAATAATAAATGCGTTATAATTTCTTCAAAAACCTCCATTGTTATGCTCAACTTCCATATAAAGAATAAATTCAACGAGTTTTTTATTTTTAAAAACTGCAAAACTTGAAATCTGACAATAAAAATTAAAATTTTAACACTATTAATAATTAAATATTTGTTTGTAAAATCAAATTTATTTACAAACAAAAAACTCTATGTTATGCATGTAGGATATATAAGATAATCGATTTTCATTACAACAAAAAGTAAAATTCAATGTATCAATGAATTCAATGATATAAAACATGTACAAAATTACTCATATATATATATATATAGATATCAAAGGAAGTAACATAGCATAAGCAACAAAAAAAAAAAAATGAAGGGGTAACATAGTTGGGCGTTAAGCGTAATTGACACTCAACGACAAGAAACAATGGTCTTTTTTTTTTTTGGCCAAAGACAAGCAACAATGGTTAATGGGGCCCTTTAGTGGAGGTGGTGGGCCCTGCGAAAGTATCGGTAGGAAACTAAACGCGCCTTTATAATTTTCTGCAGAGAAGCAAACTTGCTGCCTTTTCTTTTTTATATTTTTGTCAAGTCAATTTCATCGAAAGTGGGACCAAGATTGGACCCTACCTACAGCCGTAACTCAAACCTTGGGCCCATTTTCTATGGGCTACATGACGGGAAGATGAAGATGGTCTGCATGGCTTAGCCTTTTTTTTTTTTAAATAATATCATTAAATAAAAAAAAAAAACAAAATAGAAAGAAAACAAATACACCGTACACAGTTATTTTCCTGTTTGTTTCTTTCCTTCTAGACTTGTATACTCTTAGCCTACGAGATATACATCAAGAACTAAGTTTGCAAGTCATGTAATCTCATCCCTCATATTTTGCACTAACCGATTTATGGATATGAAAGGAAACCCTTTATTTATTTATTTATTTTAAATTTCACACTTTTAATACTAGAATATTATTAACCATTTATCTTTAAATAAGTATTCATAAGTTTTTAATTAAAAACTCACTAATATATAACATTGACAACTGAAATGAACCACTATAAAGCTTCCACTTTTACACAAAAAGTGTAAACCATTTTTGTACATTATGTCTATTTGATAGTCTATTTGAGTAGAAATAATCATTTACATTATAAATCAAATTTCAAGAAAATTATTTTTTCTTTTGCATCTACTCAAATAAAAATATTAGATTAATATGAGATTCTTTTTGGTGTAAATTAACATGAATTTTAATTCAATTGATTTATATTATTATTTTTAAAAATATTATTCAATAGATTTAATATTCAAAATTCGATATTTTTAAATTTTTTATTTTTATAAAAAAATACAATAATATATAAGACGAAAAAAATTACCTACTTTAACATTATTAGCTGATCTAAGAAAAATTTGAATAAAATAATTAATTGTTGATGGTGGGTTTGCTCTCAAATCAGAATTCATCAAGAGATAATTGTGGGAGTAGAATAATTAGAGTGGCATACAAGAGAATTACTCTATTAGAAGCTTGACAAATATGCTCTCATTTCTATTTAAATTATGGGGCCTCTATGCATAGTAAATGATTGCAGTATCATGATTATTACCTTGAGAAGGGTAATTAATTAATGATAAGACTTTTGATAAGATAGAAAAGAGAAACGTATTACTACTATATATATATATAAATTAATAATAATAATAATTATAAATATTTTAAACTTTTAATTTAGTGATTAAAATATTAAATATATTAAAATTTTGATTTCAAATTAAGTTTAATTTTTTTATTTATATTAAATTTTTATTTTTTTTAATGTAAAAAAAAAAAACAGTTATAAATAGCACATAAATTTTTGACATTAATCATTATAAAGTGTTAAGTATCATGGACTGACTTATGTGAATTTATGGTTAGGAATTCATAAGAAAAATTAAAATCATTTATTCTAAAGTGGTAGATTAAATTTTTTATCATTTCACATTTGCTGTGATTGGTTACAACGTACCATATTATTACGAATATATAAACTTTCAAAATTTTCTTCAATCTTTTGGTGTGGTTTGAACTTTGAACCAAAACTCTATCTTAAGATGTTCTATTATTACATTTTTATTACCTTCTCCGTTTTAAATTATTTGGATGACATTGATTTTCATGAAGTTTAAAAAAAAATCGATTTTAATATATTTAATGTTAAATTAATTTTTTTATAAAATTAAAGTTTAATGGTTGTTAATGTTAAAAAGGTAAAAAAAAAATTATAAAAATTAATTTCAAAATAAAAAAAAAGTTTTAAATGTTCAAATATATATATATAATTTTAGGATTTTTTTAAAACTAAAAAAAAAAAAAACAGAAAAAGTACTATGATTTAAACTATTTTCTCCACTTTGGTTAACAAAAAAGTTTTGAGAAAGGCATAAAACACACTCATTTTATGAGACAAAAAGTAAACATTACCTACATTCCTTGGCACTATTCCAAGATTCTTTTAGCCCATTCAACCAACACAATATATATTTTCATGGTTAAAGAGGATCGCTATAACCTTTATTCCTGTGGGAAACTTTGATAGATATGGAGCATCTATCCTGTTAAAGATCTCATAAAAAAAAAAAGCCTCCCATGTCCCTTTAGAGCAACAATTTAGTATGTTATTTTTTTTATATATAAAAAGATGGTAATTTAAAAATAAAAAAATTATAAGTATTAAAATTTAAATATTTATTTAGTATTATTTTTTAATTAAAAATAATTACATAAATTAATTAAGTTAAAATTTGAATTTGAATATACTAACTTCATAAACTAAGATGCTTGGTTAAGTCGGTAACATGAACTCATGTTCATGTCATCTCCCGTCAATTGTATTTTAAAGTTGAACACTGTTGATATTTACAGTACACTTTTCGGTTTTCAAATTTTTCTTCGATTATGAAAGCTTTAAATTATAGATGACATTAACAGAGATTCAAACGATTCCACAATTTTGAAACAAGAAATAGTGATATAAATTAAAATATATGAAAGAAACATTATCTTTCACATTTTTTGTTTTGATGATTAGAAAGTTACAAAAGCATGTTGTATGTTTCGTGTCACCCGTGAAAACCTATTTTTCTTGGACACATGTCACTAGCCTTATCTATTTCATGAATTTCTTTGACGGCACAGCCACATCCCTTTCAATTAGAGCCCAATTATCTAAAGACTTTAGGTGGCATGATTCTACTTGTCGGCGGTGCCATTTGGCGATACGCAATAGGCAAGAGAGTAAAAGAGGACCACTTCTTCACTTTGAAGTTTCATTGTCAGATGATCCCACCTCCATTCCGTCCCAGCTGAAGTGGTAGAACTCTTTAATTCTCTCTCCCCCAAATTTAGTTTGCAAACAATGATTTCAGTTTCAGCAGATGGGGGGATATAATTTGTTTATTGACTGAGGCGCTTGGGCAATCCCACCACCCAGCTTTTTGATTGTCCACTCTTGTAATAAGAGATGATGACAAATGACAATGGTGATGGCATTAGCTAGGGCCCTTCAATTGAGTGGATTGTTGTTTTGTCTGGCCGAAGACAATTTAAAAATCTTTTTATTCAAGTGTCAATGGTGATTATATAGTAGCCTTCATGAAATGAGGTGCCAAGAATTGAGGTTCCATTACGACAAATCATCTTTTTCACAAATGAAGGGAAAAAAAAATGAAGTTTTTTCCAACAAAGGGTAGCAGGGATTGATGTATAATTATTATTAAAAACTTTCCTCCCCTTAAATGGGCAAGTCAGGTAAGTGATGGAGGTATCCAAATTGAAGAAACCATCAATTAAAAGATTACGTAGGCAATTCCCACACGGTTTTTCCTGTTTCTTTGAGACAAATGAGCCACCAAATTGTCCGGTCAATAATAAGCCCGCAAAGCACAAAGCAAAATTAGACCGTCATCCCCCTACACCTAACCTCCCCAATTCCCATGACTAATTGAGAATCTTGTCTCTTTTGCCTAAACTATTGCGTTATCAGATATTTGTCCTCCTAATGCTACTGTTTTGATTTTGTTTTCAGTTTGCAAGAGCCAACTCTTTCCATGTCATTCAAGATCAAAACAGGGGGCTAAGAAGCAGAAACCCAGTAGACGTTTTCGAATTGTGATATATCTGTTGCGTAATCTTTTACCAAATTGTAAGCCTTGGCCCATCACTCCTGACCCTGACAAGTGACATTGTCTTGTTGGTTGTAAAATGGTAATGGACTAAGCCATGAACAGATCATTAATTTAACATCTTCCAATTTCAATATGAATCATGCACATCAACTTCGTTGATATCTGAGAAAACTATTACGCATTTTCTTCAATAAATAAAATAACTAATGTTACAAGTACTCTGATATCATTCGCTCACAAAATTCAATTATAAGGAAAAAGCTGGCAAAATCCAATTCACTGCTTGATTTTCTTATCGTTTCTTGTTTTCTTTCTAAACTCTCGTTTCTCAACAGAATATTGCTTCTTAATTAATAAATTGCACATTGCTGTTTTCACAACATCCGTAGCTGCCAAGAACACCTTTTCATCAATTGAAATACATCCTTGCAACTTCTCAGGCAGTTTTGCTCCACCAGGTACTTCAGTATCCGCCAGAACAACTGGCTTCTGTTCCAAAGAATCCGGATTTCTTTTTTTGAAACCAGAGAACTTTTTCTCGTGATAAAGAGGAAAGGTCAGAACCACGCAACTTAGAGGCACCTGTAATCATCCACAAGAATCCTCCAGAAATGCTACTGCCAAGGCTTGTAGGAATGAAATTCTCCCCAACTGAGGCCACCTGTCAAAATCAGAAGTTACAGGAAATAGTAGTTACGCATGCACTTCACTAAGCATTCATCTGCATTTAACCTCTTCTGATTTAACCAGAAAGTTTGGTTAATTCAAGGAATATCCGTATCATATTATAACAAGACAGAAATTGTGCACACTGGAGTCAGGAAAAAGGCTTGACGGAGCAAGGCTGAGCTGGATATGCAAATGCATATGAGTATGATGTCAAGCAAAGTTAATAAAACAGGTCTCCCCAAGGCATGCAAGCTAAACCGTCCTTTATGAGAGTTGATAACTGTTTTTATTGCTGTTAAAGTTGTAGTCTTCACCTTGGCAGCAGATAGAGTCTGAGATGGAATATCGCAGCTCAACAACATTATCCCCCGCAAACTACATGGAACACAAAGAATGTTATGATAATTAACCTAACAGAAGAACCATTGAAGGTGAAATAGATCTAAAATACTCAGAATCAGTCTTTAACTGCCCTGCCTTCAGTAAGGAAGTAAAAGTAAAACCAAGTAAGATACAAGGGCTAACAGAAAACTTGAAATAAAAAAGGTGGCCCCCAAGTTTTCAAAATACCGACTGCCTTTCCTTCAAATGAATGGCAACCCAAAACTGTGATACCAGATCATGTTCTCTTTGTATATTTGGGAAATGGAAAAACAGTCATTTAATGCAATTAAAGAATTTTTTTTTTGGGAGAGAGAGGAGGAAACCAGGGGGATCTACCAACAACAGAGGTGAATGGTATTTTTTTCCAAGAATAGCACAATAGCAACAGTAATCTCCAGAAATTTTCATAACAAGAGATAGACACCTTGGCACCAACTTCACAAGTATCAGGGAGGGATCCGGATATCATATCCCACACGCAAAACTGAAGAAGCAATACTTGTTGATTGTTCACCAACATTTGCAACTTGAAAAAGCAGAAGACAAAAACAATTTTGCAGACTAATGAAACAAAATTCTTAATGCTCACAGTTGAATCACCACCTCCAGACACAAGAATACCCTGCAAGCAATCTGCAGTGCAAATGAAGGCAAGGCAGGAAACAAACCTGCAAACAGATTAATTTAAATGAACAACTATCTTCAATTATAGGAATAGACATGTATATCTTCACAGAGAAAGAAAGGGATACATATCAACTCTGCTTATTAAAACAAGTGTTTTGCACAGGTAGATAATCAACTTACTTGAGTCATCGACTAGAGAACAAGCAAGTTTGGGCATGCCTCTGACCTATAATTCAGCACTATTATTTTATAAGAATTCAATACTAAATATTTCATAAAAAGATGGTGTTTTAAACCAAGCAATAGCATATAGTACCCTTTCGTTATGAACAATAACAAATCAAGGCAAGGGAAACTTTTGATCATAAAAACTCACTCTGTATGACCAAGACAAAAGCTTTGAATCTCATGAGCTCCATCTAATGACTTCTTAGGAAAGACTGTAACCTGTCATAATAAAAGTATCACATAAGATTCGTGCCTTATCAAGCGATGAAATATCATGGTTGTAGAGAAGGTAGGGCATGATGGTTTACATGAATTCTAAAATCTCTGTCAGCACTGATAATAAACCGTCCATCTGGTGAAAACTCCAGTAAATAAGTCATGTTAATAATTGGTAACTAACAAGATGAATATCACAAATAAAATTTCACATTGAAAGTTAAGTAATTACCAGGCTAGTAATGATACTACAATAATGAGCAAGCAATGGCACTGCCTTCTTGTTAAGAGGAGCTTCAGTTCCATCAACCCCTGGAAGATCCACCACTCAAACCACTCCAAATTTGTCAGCAAAATAAACATGAAAACCATCATTGCCTTCAGCCACTGCACTCACTTTCCTCTCAGAACACCTGTCATACATCATATTCATCATTTATCCCTAAAACAAAGTAAACTTTCTACAAATAAAGACAGGAACTAAAACATGAAAGAAAGAAAAAAGCTCAATTGGGTGTTTAAGAACTTACACAGTAGAAATACAGCGCCAAGACTCGGTAGACCAAACCTTGACAAGTTGTCATCTCCAGCAGATACAGAGAGCTTTCCATTTGCTCCGTATTTAATAGGTCGTATTGAATCATTATGAGAAGCCCCGCCGGATTCATCCACCAAAGTCACAGCGCAATCTTTGCTACTAACGCTCAATTTTAAAAATAATAAAATTAATTTCTTTAAGGAATTTGAGTGAGCAAAACTTAATTAAATATAAAAGCAGAGGAGGGGGGAAAAGGGGAAGAGAAGAGCTTACAGGAGATTGAAGATACGACGGTCGCACCTGACAGCGACTGCAACGGAGTTCTGGGTCAGGTGGACAGTAATAAGGGCGGAAGCAACCTGCATGTTCTTGTTGTTTTGTTCACTTTCCTCCATTCAAGTATCTTCCTGTGTTTTGTTGTTGTTGTCGTCTTCACACTCTTCAACCCGAGGATCCTCCATGCTTTACTCCTCCCTTCGAAACTGAAAGGACCGAGGTTCCCGTTTTCTAGGGTTGGAGCTTTCTGGTGGGTTTTCAAATCAATTTGGCTTTTAAGTTCTTAACCCATCTAGCTGTTTTTCTTTTTGTTTTTTGGAAAGAAATATAATTTCATACAATCATTACCCACAATAGATCAGGACATTCTTCTTCAATCCAGTACATTTCCTCGTATGTGTTGAGGGCAGATTAGGTTAGGACATGTATACTTTATCTAACACATTTGAAAAGTCCTCATCAAAAGAACCTGCCTAAGCTTCTTCAATTTATCAGTTGAAGAAGAAAGTGTTGTATAAGCAAAGGTTCTCCATTACAATCCTGGGAGAGGAAAAATAACTGTTCCTCATTTCAATCTAAAGTCATTTTTCAAGTAGCTATATTTGATGCATAGGAATCTCCCCGGAAGACTCTTAAAATCAAAAGGGAAAAACAAGTATAAAACAAAATTAGGTAGCGAATAAAAACAAAAAAAAAGATCATTTCTCGTCTCCAATAGGAGGAATTCAGTGCCTCAACAAGAGTACACTGTTCACAATCAAACCAACAAACTATTAAAAGAGAAAAAAAAAAAAAAAAGGTGGAGACCTAAATTCTTAGCTGCGTACAACCAAAAATTGTTCCTCGGCACTTTGTCATTGGAGCAGACTGACGCCATGTAGGTCTCTCACCCACAACCGTCAAGATATCAACATCAGACATTGGTTTGATATCCCAATTAAATCGATCAGGGCCGATCACCCCTCCAATTACGTAAACTTCATCTCTTAGCCCTGTCATTGCAAACCCGATTCTCCTTCGAAACTCTGAAGCAGAAATCACAACCTTTCTCACTTCCTTTTCCTGCTTGAAAATAAGTCCATGACTCATCACGTAGAGAGCTCCCTGTACAACTGCCATTGGACCCTGGAGCCAACCATAATCCTCTACTGTCCACCCAGACCCCACGTGGTCCAATACCTGCACTGTAGACAACCCCTTGTGCAAGACATGCACCTTTCCTCCGATGACTAATCCTGAGCATGCTGAATTGTGAGTGCGGTGGAGATCAGGTATTGGAATCCAGACATCCTTCTCAGGATCATACATTTCTGCTTGAGATACAGATTTTCTGCAGCTGGTAAAGCCACCAGCAACAATGATCTTTCCCTTCAAAACACAGCATGCAAACATGGCACGAGGTAAGATCATAGATGCACGTTGAGCCCACCGACGCGTTATAGGGTCATATGACCAGACTTCATCAGTTGCAAAACTCCCATCTTGGTCACCAGTTGATGGGTCGACATCATCACTCCCACCTCCAAGAACAAACAACTTTCCACCAGTTGAGACGACACCAAAGTGGGCAAGGTGCCTGACCTTAGAAGGAAGGACAGGAAGAGTAATCCAAAGGTCGTGGAGAGGATCATACATCTGCCATAAATTCTCTGGATCAAAGGCACACACACATAGAAGTTCCTCTGCTGAGCCAATCTCCTGTCGAGCTTTAAACAGCTCAGGGCTACGAATGGCAGCTCTCCAGGAATGAGAGACAAGCTCCAACTTAGGATATAGGTAGAAGGGAACCCGTGCTAGACACCTAAGGGCAACAGCGTCTGGAAGACCTTCAATTAATCCAGACATACTAACCAAGGTTTCATCGATTCCCCAACGATTCTTCACTAAAAAAATTTGTTCCTATGCCAATCAAAGCAATGGAATATGCAATCTGAAAGAGCAAATTTGGAACTTGCATGTTAGAACCAATAGTTTTGAATTTCAGAAGTAATATGTTAATTAAATTCAAGTTGAATCTTGATGAAAATGGAATCACCGTATTTGTGTTCAACAAGATTGCAGCACAATTAGCATTTTTTTGGGGGGAAAAGGGGGAACATTATCATTGAAATCATTGGAAATCACACTGTTAGGCACCGTCTCAGTCTCACTAACGTTGGCAAAAAAGGAAGCAATCATGCCATGAAAAAAAACCTAACACTTATAAAGGAGACAAAGAAAGGATATTTTTTAACAAAGGGATGGAGAGATGGAACAGGAGAATAAACCAGAATACTTACAAAGGAGACAAACAAAATAAGTGGAGTGGAACGAAACAAGCCTTTTGGAAGAGTTCAAGAATTGACAATGAGTATACTCAGACATAAAATTTGATTTAACTTGGATTTCAGAGTTCCAGCTTTATCCAAATTTTTACAGTTAAAACTCTTTCCAAACAATTGTTTCTGATTGAGAACTTAACTCAAAGTCCCAAACTTCTGAAACACTAACACTGCAGGTTATTGTAAACTTTCTATCATTCAACTCATTTCAGAGCACTCACAAAAGCTAATATGTTGAGAAAACTAAGCAAGAATCTACAAGAAATAAAACAAAGTCGAAACTGAATTCCTACCCCTATAATGCAGCTGTTAATGCTCATCTGCACAAACATGCAGATAAGTTACCATAGCTGAGAACCTGAGACTGTAATGGCTGACAAACAATCTTTTTTCTTCTCCTTAAGCAGACTTATATAACAAATGACAATGCACTGAACTCCACAAAGAATAAGTAACTTATATGTATTTCATGAAATTTTGCTCAAACATAAAACCACCATATAAGACCAGAAATGATATTGCAATAAACCTCTAATAGAAGCTATGATTAATATATATATATATATATATATATATATATGAATACGAAAACTTTAAAGATCTAGTATACTATCTTTATATTCTTCAAGTATCAAAATTTATCTAAAATACAAGCAATTTCAAAGAACGAAAGTGCAACCATTTCCAACATTAAAACACGATCCACACCAAAACCCTAACTTTGTAGTACAATGGACACGCATCTCCACAAGTAACAAGCACAAGAATCAAGCACATTTACACACAAAGATTGCCCCAGAATACATTTCATTGCCTCCAATCGATTGAATGTAACCATCTCAGACAAACACATTTCTAATTCACTTTATCAACTTATTAATCCCAAACCCAGAAAAAATGAAACTAAGGAAACACATCAAATTGAGAACAAAACCCTAAAATTTCAGCCATATAAAGAAAAATGAACTTCCTATTAAAAGACGACTACAACCAACGTTCCATCACTTTCAGATTAAACCCACCTCTAATTCAGAAAAGAGAAGAAAGGGTATTCATTAATTTCAAAATTAAATCCAAAATTTAAGGAATTGCCAACAAATATCGGTTAATAATGGACAAGTAAAGAAAACAAGGCTCTAATTCTAAAGCTTCTCAAGTGAACAAATAAAAGATGTCTTACCCGAAAGCCAAGACTCCGCAAAGAAGAAAAAAGATTTAAGCTCCGTTGTTGACAGAGAAAGAGAGAGAAGAAACGGCAGCGTTTAATTCGCCTGAGAAGAGAAGATATGCTACGGAGAGAGAGATACACAGAGAAAGCTAGAGAGACTTTACTAAGGAAACGCTGAGTTAAAACACAATTAATTTTTTACTAATCTTATATTTTATTTTTAATGTTGTTTATGTGATTGAGCGTTAAAAATACTTTCAGCCGAAAAAAAAAAAAAAAGGTTTGTTTGGTTTTATTTTTTTTGGATACCTTTAAAAAAGAAAAGTACAATGAGGCGTGCGGATATTCCACTTGGGATGCCATTTTCCCTGCTGCTTAATTTCATTCTTCCTTCACTCGTAAACGGCGTGTAGTTGAAACATGAACCTGCGTGTTTTTTTAAATTTGTTTTATATATTAATAATAAAATTCTTTTATAAACAAAATTTAAAAACTGTCACATATTTTATTTTTTTATATTATAAAAACATGTCTCATCTTATTAATTTTGATAATAAAATTTTAAATTTTCATTATCAATTAATATGATAAATTTTTTATTATACTTTTTTGCTTGCTAACCAATAACTCTTAAGCCTTATGAATCTAACCATGGAAAAGAAAAATAAACTAAATTTATTAATATTTTTGTAGCTATTTTGCAAAAGTAAAAGGGCTAGCAATTCTCACTCCAAAATAAAATAAAAAAAAATGGGATATATTTGCACCCAGAACCCTTTTTTTTTAGAATTGTGGTTTTATTATTATAAAATAATAACTAAGCGATAAACAATTGGGCAGAGAGGTCATACTCGAAGCATAATAGTCCTTGTAAGAATAAAAGAAAAAAAAATATTTTTTGCCATTTTGATAAATGCAAACGCACCAAACGTGAGTAGAACATACATTCGACCAAACAAAAAACAAGTCCCTAAGTACTTAGATTTGATGAGTTTGGTAACGCAGTTCCTTTAGTAAATGTAATAATAATTAGTAAAGGGGTTTGAATTTATTGGAAAACATATATTTAAGGATAGCTGAATATGATATAAAAGAAAAATGGGCAAGAAATGCAAGAGTAAATTAGTAGTAGTAAAATACATGGATGAAGCAAATTTACACCAAAAGCAAACAAAGTTAGTATTAAATTTGTGACGTTAATTAACATGTACTGATGTAAAGGGGTCTTGCAGCATCCAGCAGCAATGCTGTAATGGGTAGACAAGAACTCTCTTTCTATGTGTTTATGAATTAGTATAGCAGTAACAGTTAGGTGCGTGCATGGGCTTATTTTCTTGGTTCGCCCCACTATGATTAATGTCTTTGTTGCTGCTGTTTGAATTGTGATATTTGATTGATTGATGACTTGACCAAACTGATCGATCAAAAAGTTAATTTTCGTTTAACCCCCTTTTGTCTTCTCATTTATATAGTGTTTGATATAGCCTTGGGGTTCATATTTGCTCGACCCCAAATCCTGGATCAAACCCTGACTCTTTCGGAAACAAGGACAGGCCGGGAGTCACCTTTGGACCACAACTTATTTAACCTTGCTAAAGTTTGCTGTCAATGGGGATATAATTTCTTTTTTCCCTGATGGAATAAGACCAGCGACTTTTCTTGAAGCTTATCAACATGTCTTAAAGCATAAGTTTTGCTTAATAAGTGGATGCGACCATTGACAATTTGATATTATGATTTCGATCTGGAATTGATGCTTCTGGTTAGTAGACCAGTGATAATTTACTCTGAAGCATATGATATACATTATTTATGAAAATGGAAAGCATCTTTATTAAAAATCTGAATAAAATCAAGTAATAAACCAATACATTCCACAAGAAATTATTCCTCCGAATAATTTAATAACACCATGAAAATCAATAAATCAAAAACTGCAATCCTTCTGTATCTACTAAACTGTGACAGAGTAGCTTAGACGGCGATAAAGCTTGAAGCCTGCGTCGACGCGATGAAAAGCAAGAAGAAGAGCATTGAAAATGACAGCTTAGTGGAGTTCCCAGCTGATGCGCCATCACCTGTTGTTGGAACAGTCTTAGAACCACCACCTGTACCAACAGAAACAACAGTAAAGTATTAGTCTAATTTATAGAATATATAGTAGCTAATGCTAATTAATTATATTTATAGAAGATACCAAGTTTTATATGTTAGTAAAGTTAAAAACTCCCTTGTAAGTTGTACCTGAAGGAGAATTTGATGTTCCTGATGGAGAGCCGGAGGGAGAAGAAGCTTTAGATAAACACAAAATCAATCGATCAGAATTTGATAGTTGAAAATAATAACGAGCAAAAACGTTTGGAGAATTTTCTTTCATTGCAAAAAAGAGTACTTCTAAAAGAAACTTATTTTGCTTACCATTGCACTGGCTAGCAGGGGGAGTTTTAACATTGCAAACTGTTGGGAGAGCCATTGCCTGAGTCCGGTTAACATTGACACCAACTGATGAGGCACCACCGTTGAGGACCTCGCAAAGGCACTGAGCCTGTGACCTCACAACATTAGCAAGCTGAGAGCAGCATGAAGAAGATGGTGTTGATGAGTTTCCTTGTATGTAATCCAAGCACGGAGACATGCTAATGAGCACACTGGTGCAACTTGAACTTGATTGTGCCACAGCTCCTGTCCATAAAGTCGCTGCAACTATAAAGACCGCTGCAAGTATTGCTCCATTCATGCTTCTAGCTGCCATTGATTGTTGCAGGATTTGCTCTTGATAACTTGAAGTTTAAGTCTTGAACTGTTAAAATGAAGATCTGAGTCAATGGACTATTGTATGTGGCTTGTAAAGAGAGGACAGGCGATGTGGTTTATAAGGGGGAAATGTGACAAAAGGGAGGCAGCTTTGCTTTATATTGTTCACCAACTTTTCCTACTTCATAACAGAATCTTTGGTAAACAACTCCAACTTTGGAACACTAAAAGGAGTTTTAATAAAGTCAGCCCTAGGTGGCCTTCTATTTTATTCAGATTGTGAGTTGCACTCTCATAAAGAATCCATAATGCATCATAAATAAAATCCTTGATGCTTTCTTTGGGTTGAAGGAGGCTGAAAGACTTTATACCTGCTGCTTTTTTAAAATGCAAGGCTATGGTGAGAACCTCTTTCCTGAAAGGAGTATAATGAAATGAACACGTGGAAGCTAGAAGTTCCAGAATCCACCAATCAACCTGATAAAGGTAACATAGACATTTCTTTTCCAAGATATAAATTCAGCAAAGAAAAAGGGCTCCTTTGGAAGGTCGGTTGTCTTATGTTCATTCGGGTCAGAGACTTGAATCCTACCCAGATCCATTTCAGCATTAAAAGCATGAAGTTCCTTTTTCTTTTTCATTTTTTTTAACTCTACTTTTCTTCAGTTACTACTCGTGAGTTATTTTATCATAATCAACTTGTTGTTTTTTGAAAAAAACTCATTATTTCCAAATTACAGGATCATAGCCCTATTGTATCTTTTATAGGTACAAAAGGGCGTTATCCTATTTTATGTAGTCAGTGCTTGAAAGTAGAAATCACCTTGATTTTCTATCACATTCACATAAATGGATAAAAAGATCGCAGGAATGGTATATTGTTGATGCCGGATGTCGCCTTCTATTTGAAGAAAAAATGAATAATTTCTGGTTTGGTTTTGGTGTAAATGCATAAAGAAATAGTAGTTGTTTTGCGCAACTTCAATGTCAACCGACATGGTGTGTGATCGATGTTCCTAAATTTGTCTAATTTCAATCGTCGTTACCGTATTTGAGGTTATTTTCGTGGTATTAACCTTACTTTCATACATACTATAATGGTATGCAATATTGATGGCTTGGATTTTGGAACAGCAGTGCCTTCTTCACTTTAGTCATTGTCTCTAATTGTTTCTATATGATTATTTACCTCAAGGATTCATTGAGTCCTTATTTTCCTCCAATACAGCAGTCAGGGGCCGAAAAAACACAACTGTGGCACTGAAGAGATTTGCCTGATGCTGTTTTAAGGGGTTGATATCTACTAGTTAATGAAGTGATGTCATGTAAAAATCTATTAAAATGATAGTGCATTCATGAAAAATTTTTTAACCACCATTTGAGCATCAATGTTAAGGTTTCATTTTAGATGATGGAAACAACAATAACAACAATTTACTTTCATATTTTCATTAAGCATACATCACAAAGCAGGAATACAACCCTGAACAGCAATAAGTGGGAACAACTACTGCCTGATATGTGGTAGGTAAAGAGGCTCCTAGTATTCATGAATGCTCAACCAAAGGTGATAAGCGAAATGGATGAAGCAATGAACGTGGTGAAGAGAGTGAGAGCAAGCGGCATTTTCAGGATACTTGCATTAGAAGTGCGGACTTCTGTTGTAGGGACTGTTTTAGACCCAGTTCCTGCATATTTTTCGTGGGTTAATAAAATAAACCGTCGGAAAAGAGAAATCAGAATTCCTCGTAGATTTCTGATTGGCATCACTATCAAAGCAAAGAGTTTAAGCAGCGATTGTAATCTAGATTTTCACATTAATTTTGGGATTAATTTAAACAGACATTCCTGAAATTAGAAGTTCTTTACTGTTGTTTCAGTTCTGCCAATAAATAACTCAATTTCAGTAGGGAATTTGTCAGGTAAGACCGGCTGAAAAAATGATAATTTGTTTAGTGGTTCTATATATGTTTTTTTTTCTTTTCTTTTGGACGGAAGTGGTTGTACAAAAGTAAAACAGTAAATTTAGTTGACATAGCATGCAGCAGAAGGTTTCATCACAGGATTACTTGCCGTTTAACCAGAGCCTGAATTGTACTTAATTATATGTGGGACTTTTTAAGTTCTGTCTACCTGAAGGAATGCTTGGCATTGATGATGTGGCTGGAGTATCAGGTGTCTCATCTGAACTATCAGGTGGAGGACTTAACCCAGAGCTCAATGGGGGAGCTGCTGGACTATTGGCAGCTGGTAAATAATCAAAATAAGTTTTTCAGAATGCTTACATTAGCTCTCTTGGGGAATGTGGGTTATATGTTTAACTTGACCTTACCGTTACACCTGCTAACTGGTGGTGTCTGTACATTGCAAGCTCCGGGGAGTGACAGAGCTCGAGTCTGATTGATGGTAATACCCAATGATGAGCCTCCCCCATTGAGCGCTGAGCAAAGACACTGTGGCTGTGATTGAACTACGCTAGAAAGCTGAGAGCAGCAAGATGATGTTGGGGTCATCGAATTTCCACTAATGTAGTTTAAACAAGGGGCTAAACCCAAGAGCACGCTGGTGCAACCAGACTGGGCTGTGGCTTTATCACAAATCATGGTCACAAGAACCATGGCTAGACCCAACTTGACATTTTCTAGAGCCATTCGGAGGTTGAGTGATAGCAGGAGTTGCGGCAATTAAAGCTCAAGTAGCAAAAAGATGGAATTCTATCTCCTCAAAGCGGAATAGATGACGCTTATATAGCACCTTACATTGGCAAAAGATCATCATATTAGTTACATATGGATGGCCAACTTTTCCTAAATCAGGAATCATTTGTTAGAGCAGTTTAAGAACCTCAAGCATTCTTCCTGCCAAGCGTTCCAAGTACCATTTACACTGCTAACAGTCATCTAGCTTTAATTTCTCAAACCAAGGCAAAATAATGGCAATCCAAATTTATGCCAATTGGCCAATGGGTTGACGTTAAAATTTCCCGTTAAAGTAGCAAAGTGTGATTTTCACGCAAGAAGTCTAAAGAAGTGCGTATTGGCTCTTTCTAAGATGATACCTATAGTCAGTCACCCACTGACCAAAATCTTGATTTATGAGTAGCCACCTATTTCTACCCTCATGGTTTTTATGAAGTTCTGATCTAAAATCTTCTTTCTCTTTTTGACTATTCGGTGTAAGTTTTACAAACACAACACTTAAGGTCAATAAAATTTTTTAAATTTTAAATGTTAAATATATTAAAATGTATTTAAAAATAATTTATTTTTATATTTTTAGATTAATATTTTTAACAATCATTTTTTCTTTTAATAACAATTCATCTTATTGTCACCGTTATTTTTATATTTAAATATATATTTTATCATTAATTTTAATATTATCGTTATAGTAATTAATTTTATTATTATTATAATTAATCTTACTTTTATCATTGTTTTCAATCTCACTAAAATTAATTTTATCTTCAATGGATCATTAATTATTCTGCAACTTTGGTAATTTTAACAGAAGTTCTTTGGTATTATGTTATTATTATATTTTAAGATAATCGGGACAGTGCTAATGCATCATACTTACATTGTGACAAGTAATGAGCTTATACTCCCATTAGAAACCAAACTCGATGATACGGAAATTCAGAAAAAAAACTGAAGTTTATATATTCCTTTGCTTTTTCAGGATCCCGATAATTCCTTCCTGTTTTAATTCAGTCTTGACATTTGTAGACAAATAAATATCGTTCTTGCTTTAGGAAATACTTAATATCTTCTCCGTCATGACAAAATGTAATAGAACAGCATGAAAGAGAAAATTGACCAGGAAGATTCTCTGTTTAGCTTCTGCAAGTGATACATTAATTGATCAGCCTATTTCTCGCTTTTGTTTTCGCTCTTCTTTTTGCAGTCCATTGTTTACCCAATTTTAATACACACAAGCTGCATAACTTCATGTTCTAAACGCACCAGACTTGTATCTTTTTTTTTTTTATCATCCATGGACAAAATTTTGCCTCAGATTAATAAATCATTTAGGGGAAAAAATATGATTTCTTTTTCGCCCCCCCCCCCCCCTTTTTTTTTTCTCCTTCTTCTGAATGGTATCCTTACGCCTTTGTAACATTGAGAATCGCCTTAGTAACTTTTTAAACATTCTTTGCAATCTTCTAATCCTTTCATTATTCGGCCGATTTGAGAAGGTAATAATCATTTTTCGTCAAATGTCCAAACACATGATATATTAACGTTGTCAATGTATGGTTGGCCATCGGGCATAAATTCTTGGACATCCAATGGAAGTATCTATACTTTCTGTGGAATTGTATCAGAAGGTTTCAACTAAAGTAATTATTTTTGTTTTGGCTGCTGAGTAGCTTTGCTTGATCCACACTTCGGAACTTGGGTTAGTTAAGCAGATATTTTGAAAGAAATAATAAAGCGACCTGAGAGAGTCCCTCATCCCACAATAATTTATCATTAAACAACTCAAACAAAGTAGTACAACAACATTCCTATTATGGGAAACAAGAATCATATCAGGAAACAAGGGATAAAAAGAATCATCATCACCACCATAACAGGCAACAATTCCCTACGGAGGACCCTTGCTAACTCAGAATTTGGTGAGGGTTGCAATGAAGAGAAGGAAGAGAACAGAATGAAGGGAGGCTTTTGCTATGCTTGCATCCGATGATCCCCCGTCAATCGATGGGATAGATTTAGATCCTGTTCCTGCATATTTATCCAAGCACCATCATGAAAGTCTGTCCCTCAATCATATAGTAATGCCTGAAAACTTTATACATAATTTTGTTTTCTTGGGTCAGCTTAGGTGACCAAAACAATTTAAATGCGTACCTGAAGGAATGTCTGATGCTGGTGGTTTAATGGCACCTTCAGGAGTTGGAGACGCTGCGGCAGGAGTTGAGGGTGTTCCTGATGTTCCACCTGTGAAAATTTAATTCAAGTTAATAATAAAAACATCTCCTTTTTACAGACAAGCATGGTAAGCACAAGCATAAATGAAAAGTTAATCAAGCTTACCATTACATTGGCTAATTGATGGAGTTTGCATCTGACAAGCACCAGGTAGTTGCATGGCGAGAGTCTTGTTTATGGTAATTCCCAATGAAGCGCCGCTATTAAGTGCAGAGCAAAGGCATTGTGGTGATGATTGAAGGACGTTCTTTAGCTGTGAGCAGCACGACGATGATGGGGTGGATGAATTTCCTGTAATGTAGTTTAGGCATGGGGCTAGGCTGGTGAGTGTCGAGGTGCAGCTTTGGGCGTTGGCCCCAGCCCAGAGCATTCCCATCAGGACTAGGATTAGAACAATCTCAAGTCCTCTCGAAGCCATTTCCTCCGGTCGGAACTTTTTCCTGCCTACAATGTTCAGAAAGGGGGGAGGGATGCAGTATGCGTGTAAGAATCAGGGAAGTAGAAGTCAAAATTGTTTGATCTGATTTGGAGACTTGGGGTTTGAGTGAGAAGGAGAATGAAACGACTGGAGTTATATAGTAGTATTTGAGGAGAATGACAAATTGATTGATATATTTGGATGGCCAACTCTTACTAAACATACCACAGAAGGTCAAGGAAGTGAAACAACCACAGGTCTATTTTAGAGTTGACAATCCAAAACTTCACCTGTCAAAATTTTCAAAAAAAAAAAAAGAAAAAAAAAGCCAAGGCAGAGCAGCTACAGCCTACAATCAACCGAATTATATATCATCATAATTAAACAGGAAAATAAAATGGTAAATCGAGAGTTGCAACTAACATGCCAAACTACCTACCTTGAACTGCTTGTGATTTCCTCATACAATAAAAATTGTGGAAAATATTTAAAAAGATAGCTTTGAGTGTGGAAATTAGTTAAAAGTAGTTGAACTCCTGAACCACTTCAAAACTGCCTGGTTTTTTCCTTCAAATTGCTTGATCTGCTCTCAAACTATAAAATTTACCTTTCCATAGCATACTTGATCCAATAAGAACTTTACACCCATTTCATTACCCAATACTCTTCCATTTCACTAAGAAGTCATGGAAGGCTTCAAGGTTTTCCAACTCATTGCAATATTAACAACTCTTTCAATCATTTCTGTTAGAGGACAAGTTTCTACGGCCTGCACAGCCTCAATGATCACCAGCTTCACCCCATGCCTAAATTTTATCACGGGAAGCACCAGCAATGGCTCATCACCAACTCAAGGCTGTTGCGGTTCATTAAAGTCGCTCATGAGCAATAGCATGGATTGTGCTTGTCTTATAATTTCTGCAAATGTACCTATTCAACTGCCCATAAACAGAACCCTGGCACTTGGTCTCCCCCGAGCTTGTAACATGGGTGGCGTACCACTGCAGTGCAAAGGTGGACCTTAATTTGTCTTGGTTTTATTAATTAGTCTGCCTCATCTAAAATCCTTCACTGTTCCCCTGATTCCAGAAACTTAACGGCCCATTTCATGTGTTTTGCAGCTTCTGGCACTCCTCTACCAGCTCCAGGTAACGTTTGCAATTGAAACAAGTACTGCATTTTTCATGAGTTTTTTAACCTTGGGGGGAAACTAGGATCTAACAGCTGCTATCTGCATGTGCTGTGTTTTGATTCAGAGCAATTCCTATATACATTAGTTCGGAACTTTGGATCCCACATGAAATGGGGAAGTGCTCCAAAATAAAAGGGGCGCAGAAATAGCATCTCTCCTGACAACTTTGAGAAAACGTCACTTAAGTTTTAAAAGTATTGTGGAAAGTGTATAACTAGGGATGCTTTCTCATACTAATCATTAATCAACCATACATTCTTCGGTGAACAAACAATGTGCATTAACATTAACTAATCCAAAGAAAAATGTTAATAAACTTTTTTGGCAGGCCCTGTTCCCTTTCTACTTCCGCCAACCGTTCCACCAATGGCGGCGTCTCCTTTAAGTCCAAGAGGTAATCTGCGTCAATATTTTGATTAACATAACTTACAATCTAGCATTACAGTTTGTGCAATATCATGAAACCAAACCTTTTTTCTTTAAAAAAATTTATTTTTCTGAACAGCTTCCAAAGCTTTAGCAGAAGGTCCAGCAACACAATCTGATACTCCACTGGACTTGACGCCTGCATCACCACCAGAAGGAGAAGAGGAACCAGAAGCTCCCTCAGCCACAGTAAATCCTGAGATTAAACCAGTATTACAGCCATCGGCATCTAATCCATCTTACATTTCTCCTCCATTGGTACTCGTACTATTGACTGGAATCACAATTTTCAAGTACTATTGAAGTCTAAAGGGTATTCTACATTTGTTCTTCTAAGTTCTAGATCTGTGAGCTTAATGGTGGGCAGCTTTGAACATCACATTATTTGTATCTTCTACATCAGATAACATTAGTCAATTCATTTGATCTATATTGATAAGCATGCACACAATCAAATTTTTATTTATACGTTTAGCCTTAAGGATCATGAGCCCATACTTTAAAATCTAAAGATTAAAAACATTAGTAAACAAAAAAATCCATGGACCATGGCAGGTTAAGTAATTAACTTGGAGGGATATAAATAAATTCAATTACCAGGGAAGCAGATCAAAATCGTGTAACAATATCATTAATGGATAAAACCAATGGCAACTTAATCTACAAGGAACCAGATAGGGGACATAACCTTAGTAGGGAACACAATGGAGGTGAGCACTCACATATTCAACAACAATCCTGTTAGAGAAGATTCAAAAACAATTGGGACATAATACTGCACAAAATGATTTAAAAAATGCCAATAAGACATTGTAAGTTTAGAACACCAAAGTACTATTTAATAAAGTAAATAAGTCAGTAAGGTCATGTTTGGTGTATAGGATGATGGATAGGGTAGGATGATAATGATCATATACCATGTTGATTTGTATCTAAAGAAGAAGATAAGATTGTAAGGATGATTAATCATTGTATTGGCATAGAATGATTCAATCCTCTCAAAGTGGAGAAGATTATTTTTAATCCATGGGATTGAACTTGCATATCTTATTATACTCTTAAAAATTACATCAATAATTTAAATTGTATAAACTTGGAGGAAGGATAAGTTTGACCAATAAATAAAATTATCCCATCATAATCCTTGCACACATCAAATGCAAGATAGGATAAGATTATTTAAACTAATCTTATTCATAATATTATCTTATCTTATCATATCATAATCTTATGCACTAAACAAGTGCTAAATTCTTAATCAAGGTGCAATTCAAGTGAGTATCTTTCAGAGAAAAAATGAAATGGAAAAGGATACTCTAACTATACTCAAAAGGTTCTTAGGCTGTGACCAATCCAGTATCCTTTATGGATTCACACGCCATGAATATTCTCCTTTGATTGCTGAATAAGAACACCAACTTCAATATCGATTTCACTTCCTTCCACCAATTGTCCTATGCAGAATCATATACTAAAGAGAATCACTAATTTTTCCCTCCAAACCAAAGCAAAATATTCAATTCCATAGCCGGATTCATAATAGTTAAGAATCCCGCAGGTACTTGTGGGAGGGAAAGTGAAGTCCATGGACGCACGCCAGAACACTGGGATGCTATAAATTATTACCCAACCAAAGAAAAAGTAGAATATGCAATCAATCCGATCAACTTACAGGGGTACTTAGAATTATCACAAAATCTTATCAAAAAGCTATCAACGTACTAACAAAAAAAAAAAAAAAAAAGAAACAAAGAAATGGGTAAAAATGAATAAAACCTTGCGCAAAGCAGTGGCAAGCTATCTACGAGTAAAATTGGCAGCAGCGGCACCGGTCAACGGGATTCCATTATGGAACTGATACAAGGCTACATTCTTCTGTTTATATTCCGAGAACTGACCCCTATATGATTTTCAATTTTCAAAATAAAAATATCTCTTTTTTAAAACAAATTATGCAAGTTATTAACATCGGAGTCAAAGCTAAGAAAGAAAGATCAAAGATATATATAGAGAGAGAAATCTGCCACCGCTCTCGCCACTAGCAGCCAAGAGCTTGTGGGAATCGAGGACCATGATCTTTTGCTCGTCGGGTTTGTAAAAGGAAATTCTGTGCACCGCCGATGTGTCGGCCGCCAAGATTGCGAATCCATCACCCACTATTCCAAAAATGTTCTCCATCTCTCTCTCTCTCTGTGTGTCTCTTCTCCTCGAATGGAACTCACGACCTTTTTTTTTTTTTTTTTCAAGTGTTAGTCAACTTGCTATGCAAGAAAGATCTTAAGAGAAAGGTGACATTCATTGTGCAATTGGGGTTGCCTTTTTCGTAAATTCCGTAGGTTGATGGCTCATTCTCTACTTACTGGGCCAAACTCTAAAGATCGATGTTCGTATCCAGCCTCTTCGATGAGCAGACACCTGATTGTTAAAAAAAAAAAAAGAAAAGACATAATAATTTATATTCAGATTTTGCTTGTGAATTACTAAGCCATATTCATAAATTTATTTGCTAACTAATTTGTTCTATTTAGCCTTTTATATCAATTCATTTATGAATTTTGAATTTCAAGAAAATAAAACTTTGTATAAACTAAAAACAATTTCAACCAATATATAATATGTTTATTATTATAAAATTAAAGATTTTTTGAATTGGTTTTTAATACGCTATAGTATAATTTTTTAACCTCTTAAGCAAGGTTTAAAAAATTGTCACATGCTTTACTTTTTTAATTTTTTATTATAAATATATATCACCTTATTAATTCAGGATGTTATATTGTTGGAATGAAATATGAATACTTGTGTTTAGGTAATAAAATAAGTTGATGTTGAAAAAAAAAAATTATAAGAGAGGGTTTTTAGCAAATGATAATCATCCAATCCTTAAAACATAAAAAAAAATAAGTTTGTTAATATTGTTGCAACCAAAAGCACGAAAAGGTCGTTCCTCCCTTGAAACTTTTCTCACAAAATTACAAAATTTTGGTGCACAACTAAGCAATTCAAGCATAAAAACCACCTATTAATCACTAGAATTCCCCATCTTGCGGATGACCACCTAAAATAAGCATTTCCTGCCTCGACAAATACCTGAACCCATCAACACATTTGATTAGCAAAAAGCGAAATATCAGTGACAATATGGCCAACAAGTTTGTTGCAGGGTTTGTTCTGGTGTGCATCGTTCTTGTGGCAGCAACAACGTGCGTGCATCGGGCCCAGGCTGAGGACGATCGTTTCAAGTCGTGCTTCAGAAACTGCGAGCAGGAATGCCGCAACGATGGTCATGGCAACACCCACTGCGAGATGAAGTGCGATGCTGATTGCGGGGCTAAGGAGGTTGCAGCCAAACTCAATATTAACTTATAGGTGTTGCCAGCCTAACATTAGTTTCACTCCAACGGTTCTTAATAGTGTTAATTAATGCTCATTATTATGAAATAAAATTTGACCTGGGTTACATGGTCAAATCATTTTTTTTAATCCTTCGCAATCTTTGTAATTTCCTTTTTCTGTTCAACATTTAGATAAATGATAAGATGAAATTGAAGAGTTTAGTCTTAAATTTTATATTAAAAAAAATTTACAATATTTTTTATTTTTTATTCACATGATATCAGGCATCTCCATAAAGTGAAAATTGGGCTTCACATTAAGTATACGGAATAAATTTTAATTATTTGGAATTAAAGATATTATTATTATTTTTTAAGATGCTAAAGCATATTTTCTTAAATTTTATTGTAGTTGCATATTTATTTTCAATTTTTATTTTTTATTACTTATTTCACAATAACTTTAAAATATATATAAATATTAACATTTATTAATTATATTATAATTAATTTTTTAAATACATTATTACATACCTAGGCATCAACACGAATTTAAAATTAATTAATCATAAGCTCCAATATTGTATAGAATCTAAATCCCAACTCAATTAAATCTTGAATTAAATTTTGAAATAAAAGTTAAAAAAAAAAAAAAGCAAACTTTTTATGGGGATTTTCTTAAAAGTTACTTCTAAACTTTAAAAAATAATAAATTTGTACCTAAAAAAATAAAATATATAATTTGCATCATAAACTTTTAAATAATGAATAATTTACACCTTAAAACGTTTAAATTATATATTATATTAACTCAAGTTATAATATTACTAATCATATCAACTTATATATACAATATATAATAAATATTATCAAATTATATGTTCATCACTTATATTGTATAATTTTTTTAATATAAATAAAAAATATTTTTTAATTTACTTGAATTGTAAAAATGCCTAGGACTAATCAATTATTTTTTGTTATGTAAAATTCACATTAAATTTTTATAAAATATTTAAAATTTTTATTTAATAAATAACATGTATATAATAAAATTAGACTAATTGAATACTATATAAGTAAGTTAAGTTAATAATATTAGAATTTAGATTAAAATGATACATTATCTTAAAATCTATAGTATAATTTATATATTTTATTTTTTTAGATGTCAATTTATATATTTTTAAAAGTTCAAATACTAAAAATATAATTAATTTTTTTAAGAGAGATAAAAATTGCCATTATTCAAGAAAAAAAATATAAAAATATTGAATTGGTTATGCTGTGGAAAACGTGATGAATTTTGTTACGAGTACATTCGTAAAAAAGAAAAAAAAGAAAGCAGAAGCGGGCTTTTTTCTAATAAGCCCAATTTAAAACCAAACGGCCCGACAAAGAGTTTGAGATATTGGATAAGAACGAGCCCAAGTCCAAACCCAATAATCCGTTAGCCTAAACCCTAAAACCTGACATCGAAAGAGCACGATCCAGATCGTCTACAGCCTCGTCAAAACACATTGCTTTAGCGCTCTAAAGTACTGTCTAGGCTTCCCTTTTATTCCTTTCCTTCCGGTTTTTGTTATAAATTTGTGAAGCTTTGGTTAAAGATAAAAAATGGGTTGGAAAGCAGCCGAGAAGCTGATCAGGCACTGGAAAATTCTCAGGGGTGACAATGTAAGCATCTGATTTTAAAACTCCATTTCCGTTTTTAATTGAGTTATTCGAAACCAATTATATGCTTTGTTTCTTATAAACTATTCACAGGTGATGATAATCAGGGGTAAAGATAAAGGTGAAACTGGCATTATCAAACGCGTTATTCGCTCGCAGAATCGCTTAATTGTTGAAGGGAAGAATCTGGTCTGACTCTCTTCGAAATTTGAGATACGGGTCTTGCTCTTTTACTTGGAGGGGTTGTTTTACATTTCTGTTTTTCTATTTTACAGGTAAAAAAGCACATCAAGCAAGGTCCAGGTCATGAAGGTGGCATATTTACTGTTGAGGCTCCACTTCATGCCTCAAATGTTCAAGTTCTCGACCCTGTTACTGGGTATTGGCTTTAATTCTGATTTTATATTTTGAAAGATAGTTGTTGTATCATTATTATATTTTAACAAATAAAGGATTATTGATGTAGGAAGCCTTGTAAGATCGGAGTTAAATATTTAGAAGATGGAACTAAGGTGAGAGTATCAAGAGGTATAGATGCATCTGGGTCTATAATTCCTCGCCCTGAGATCTTAAAGATAAGGACAACACCAAGACCTACAGTTGGTACTTTAACATGCTTATGCTCTTCACCACTTTGAGTGGAATGTTGCCGTTTTTCCCCCTTTCTCCAACTCCATGCAGCACATATGACTAGTATTTTCATCTTATTTTTAGAATTTGAATAAGGAAGAACTCTTTTCATTAAAAGAAGTATCTCTGTATTTCCATTATTTTTTAAAAAAAATTTAATGAATTTAAAAATTTGCTCGTTGCCTGTAAAATAGTCAAGATAATTGTCCTATCAAAAGATTTGGTAACTAGAAATTGTAAACGTATTTAGTTGGTTTTCAGTTCAGTGATCAGTGAACTGGTATTGCAAAATGTTAACATAGAAGGCTATAGATGCAAGTTAAGACATTGAAAACTGGTCAAAAACTCAAATTAACTATAAGCTAAAATGTAGTTCTTAAAGAAACTAGAACTTAGCTTTTTCCCATCTGCAACAGTATATGCTATAATCTAACAATTCCAGCAACTAGGCTTCACTAGTGACTAGACACTTGGAATCTATATAATTCTAAGGTAGTAAGTTTGTAAAACATTCCTATACGTTCATACTTGGTTATCTTATATCTTTTGTAATTTAATTATTACTCAAGTGAACGAGAATGATGTGCAATTCTGCTTATCATTGCATATTACTGTTATCATTCATTGTATACTCATCACCATTCTGTATTACCAATGTTGTAAAGTCTGGATGCATTCGATGTTGAGGGAAGAAATTAATTGATCACTTGGGAGTAGTTTCATGGGATTTGATTTTAATTCCCTTCTTTTAAGGAATATTGGAAGGCATAAAGCATCATGTTGCCAACGAATGGGGTAACATATATCAAAGTGAAGAGTAAAATTGTTTTTTTTTTTCTTCGTTATGGGGCCTACATTATCAGGTGCAAATGAAAAATATTACACAGATTTTTGGAATTGTGTGCATATATGTGATTGGAATTGAGAAATGTAATGCTTTCTTTTGTAGTTTTCTTATCCTACCATAGTTGTTATTGCTTGTCAGTTCTTTTGCTGTGTTTTGTTTGTTCTTGATATCTTCCCTTTAAGGTATCACGTGCATTTGCTCTTCCTAACGGTCATTAGTAAAGGGCTTTTGTTCATAAGCATGTTAAGATGTAGTTTGTAGTTCCAATTTGTCTATGGATTGTGGTGTAATAAGTGGGTTACAGATAAGAAACTTGTCCAGAACGGTGATGTAAATTTGTTATAGCAAATATTTCCGCGGTGCCCAAGTTCTGCATGCAACTTATTTCGGCTGTTATTGGTTTTCAGCTGGTGTCAAGGATACTCCGATGGATCTTGTGTTGGAGAAGACATACGATCCTAAGACAGGGAAGGGCATGCCTGACCTTTGAAGAACCTCTTGATCTCATATGAGGCATCAAACATTTTGAGCAAAGAGTCTACAGAAGTACGGTCGATGGATCAGGCACATTTGCTGCCATCAATGACTAATATTCTTACCAAGGTCAGCATCTAGAATGTAATATGGTTGGCAGATGTTGCAATTAAAATTTTTGGGTTGTATTTAAACGTCCAAAGTTAAACATATTATGAATCTAGTTTAGAAAGTTATGGTGTGTTCTTTTTTTGCATGGATAACCATTCACCAATTCCTTGTGCTTCTACAACGCATCTGTCAAGTTTCTAGGGGATGAAAAATGAATACGTACGGCAGAATCTGAGGTGGTGTTTTTGAGGAATTATACTATACGAAAGGGATTTAAAATTGGCCAACTCATTATGTTTGAGTTGCTGGATGATACTCATAATATCTTTTAAGAATTAATGGGGCTGAGTTGCATGAATCTTCGTCAAATGAATCGGGATTTAGTGCTTTCTTCACAGAAAACAGAGATTTTACCCTCACCAATAAAAAACAGAGCATGTTCTTTCACACTCGTCAAGATTCAGCACCGAATTTGTAAACAATGGATAAAGTGCAGATTTGCAAACAGCAAATAAAATAAAACCAAAAAAAACTCAACAAGACTGTTTTGAAGTATCTAAAATCTAAAATTTCGCCCAAAAGCCATCCCTTCGAGTTCAAATGTCCGCTGTTAGAAAGTTCCCTGATAGAGATACCTGAATGGAGAAATCATTCTATGTCATACTTAACCGGATACAACGTCAAAAATCAGTTTACAGTGCATGTACAAGAATGCGCGCCTGAAGCCAAAAAAAAAAAAAAAAAGAAACATACCTTCTCGCCCAGCTTGAATGGTGGAAGACCCTTATATGGGCAAGTACTGCAGCGAAATGCATCACCTAGTCCACACTGTTCACGATTTCAAAGAGTAAGTTAAGGTAAAAGTATTAGTCCACACAGCCCACGGTTTCAAAGCATAAGCAAAAGTGTTAAAAGGGTTAAAACTTTAGACTCTTTGTTGATGCGTTTACTACTTCTTTTTTTTTTTTTGTTTTCAAAAAATTGGATAGAAAGGAAAAAGAACCAGTCCATGGCTGCATCCTAATCATCACAAATATATCATAATAATAAAATCAGTATAAATAAACCAAACCAAACCAGTGATACAAGTATAGAACAAGATATACATTGCCACAAGCTGATTGAGGATTGTTCAACTGATCCATAGTCAGTTCCAGCTTCTGCACTTTCTCCTCTTGTTCGGCCCTTCCACAAGTGCAGTTTTTGCAGGCTTTCCTTGTGCTTCCAACTTCACAGTCACCAGCTGAAAAAAAAAAAAATTTAAAATTATGTAATATAATACTCCTAAAACTTTTCACATAAAGGATGAAAAACCAGTAAGTATGGGTCTTGTCAGGTCTTCAAATCTTACCAGGTGGTAATTGGGGTTTCTTCAAATCCTCTTCAGTTAAGAGGGAATCTTCATCAATGAGATCTGAATCATCATCAATCTGAATTTTCAATGGATTTTTCTTGGTCTTTTTAATAGCAAAAGAAGACCCAATCTTCCAAGACGGCTTCTTAGCCTTAACCTAAAAGGGGCAATGATTTCAATAGCTTTATTAAAAACTCCTACAAAAGGAATATAAGGCTCAAAAGGGTGAATAAGCCTTGCACTCATTTCAATAGTATAATGTAAGACAAGACCTAAAGCAGCATTACTCCATCACACATTTTAATAGGGGGAAGAAGACTAACTAAAATAACAAAATATCAAATAATATATTTATTAAAATAGAATTCATAAAGCCATTAATTAACTAACATCAGACCAGAAGGATTTTTTTTTATGAGGAAGGAGGGATTCAAACCCAGTTCAAAAGAGCTAGGGGATATATGCACCTATCAAAAGGATTAAGCCCATAAGGGTGAATAAATTTTGCACTCATTTACAATAGAAGATGCTGCTTCCGTTCTTCATTCTATTATTTTAATATAACAGTCAGAAAAGCAAAAAATAAAGTTAACTGGCTAAACAAAAATATTGACAACAAAAGCGGGGAAAAACTCACCCCAAAAGACTGAGCAACTGATTTTAGTTGAAAACATTTTCCTTCTAAAAATCCTGCCAATAGTAACTTGCGCTCAATAGCAGACATTACCTGCAAGAAACACTAGTAAGTTGCCTTACTACAACTTAAGCGCATCAAAGCCACAAACCACAAAACATTTACCATATCTGCTTCATTTGTCCCAGACTGCAAAGTCCCGTAAACCACCAGCATCCCACCAGGCATCAAAACTCTAAAGATTTCAGCATACAACTCATCAACAGGAAATTCATCTGACCTAGAGATGAAAATGACCATGTCTACATAGGATGATTCTAGTGGCAGCCGAACTGAGATAACCCCCAAGAACCAAACGTTTATTCAAACATGAGTAATGAATTTATCAAATAAAAAAATCAAATTAAAAAACAAAAGGATTATAGTAGAAGAAAACTAACAGGGGATATAGATGCTGAAACTATTCAATTAAGAGGGATGGAGTATGATTGTTGCTTTTACAACTTGGTTTTTGCTTCGTAGTAAAATCATACATTTTAGATATCCATAAAAAAAAAATCAAAATTTTTACTTTAATTCTTCAAAGACTTATATCTATTAAAATGAAAATTACAAAATTATAAGTAACAAAGAAATACCTAAAGAAGAAGCTTGCATAATAATTAGAGGGTCGAAGCGTTTGGGGTCTTCGTTCTCAAAGTCCCAAATTGCATTTAGCGAACTAACGGCGTTACTTGCATCATCCGTAATAGCCAACACAAGGCTCCGCTTCGATTTCGAATCCTATAAAGGAAAAAAAAAGAGTTTAAAATTAAACGAAAAACCAAAACTGCAGCAAACGTAATCATCAACTATGTTACAGAGTCCTCAATTTTAAATTTTTTAAAATTATACATAAGAAAAATTTCAGTTCCCGAGCAAGGATGATGAGAAATCAGCCTATTAAAGAATGTAACTTTTAACGAACCAAGATATTTCAGCGAAAAAAGTAAAAAAAAAAAAAAAAAAGTAAGGACAGAAAATTTGAGTACAAAAAAGGAGATCTGTAATTAAAAACAAATAAAAGAAAATGAAGCTCACCATGTCGATCAGGGTTCAAAATCGTGGGAAAAAAACCCTAGAGAATTTACTTCTTGATATTTCGGCTGCTGTTTTGGTTTGATTTTCAGGAATGTGCGATTTCACACTGTGCTTTGACCTACCGACCCTTCCGCTATAATTTTTAATTTTTTAGGGTGAAGTAAGAGAAGAAGAAGCCGGTGAGAAAGAGGGCGACGATGTCTGGATTTTAACTTAGGGCAAATAATCAGGTGTGCCAAAGTTCATGGAATACCAAACCGCTGCCCAAGCCACGTGGCATTTAAACATATACTCTGGGGCTCCCACGAGCCCACCCCAGCCCAGCCCATCTTAACTAATTTTTCCCCCTCTCGTTTTTGCCGCTTCCTTGGAAGAACAACGCGTAGCAAACTTGTCCGGTCCGTCTTTCCTTTCCACTTCAGCTACATTATATTTCTCTACGCCAATTTTGATGACCCTTCGCGCCAGCCAACTTCACTTTTACACTGTTGTGAGTTTCACTTTTCCCCTTAAAAATGAAAATTAGAGTTTTTTCATTTGTCTTTTCCATGTCTTTGCTTTATTTGATAAAATGTCTCACCGAGGATTGGACTGCTGCTTGCTAGCTTCTCCTTGTTACTACTACTTTTTTTTTTTTACTCTGAAAGTTATTTTTAATAAAATCGGTTAAATAATAAGTGATTTTGTCTGCAGTTATCAATGCTTATTGTCCCCTGCTATGTTGTACCTTTATTTGCATTTTAACTCTCGTGTAAGTTGCACTTTTTTCAATCTAATTTGATGTCTGGAAAATTGCTTTCCATGAGGGAGATGAGACGTCCAATTATGGTCCTCTCCCCTTCTTTCTTGTTTGCCGTACTTTCTCATAGGCATTCTAGTGTTGATAGGATTTGGAGACGCCAGTTTCCTGTTTATTGAAGTCACAGGTCGGTATGTGGGATCTCTGACTCCTTTTCGAACTGCTTAAAGATACTAAATGCATCTTCAAGTCTTGAGAATAGGATGATGCTATTTTCAACAATGGCTGGTGCAATCTTGGTCCAGGCTTGAGACCCACCTAAACTAAATATGGAAATACTAAATGCAATTGATGAGTGTAGATAATAGATATATTGATACAGGGAAGCTGTATAAACAGCACATGCGGATGGAAGGGTTTCCTCAAATCTGTTGTGAACAGGCTTCTGACAAGCCTTTGAGGAGAGTAAACAGAACTTGTTGGAAAAGGAGCCTCTGATTTATCTTTCTCTTGGTCTTGCCAAATGCAGCTTGTCAGTTCCTGCATCAACCATTCTGAGAAAATTGGTAGAAACAGAAAATTTTCCTCCTGTGACTGCATGGTCAGCCATCTTGGCCCACGTCACAAACGGTTCCTGAGGCTTACCTAGCTGCTGCATTGATACTTGAGATAGGTTTTACTTATTCCAGGATGGGAGAGTGGACCCCCGTAATAAGAGTAATGCACCTTTGATTGCCATGAAGCCTAATACTACTGCTTTCAACACTGCTTTGGCTGGGTGCCTCTTGTTTGGGACAACAAGGAAAGCAGAGTAGCTCCTTGACATGATGCCTCGAATTGGTCTAAAAGCTGATGCAAACTTACCGATTGTAATGGCACATATATATATATATATATGAGAGAAATGGGCTAAGAGAAGAGCCGAGGAAGCTTCAGAGGCACATAGATGAAGCTTGTAACTTAACTGATATTCAGTTCCAGCAGTTTTATAATTATTTGCTTACATTCCATTTAAAATTTGGTGATCTTGATTCTGCCTCCAACATGGTTTTGGAAATGCTGCAGAAAGCAAATGACACACAAAATTCTCTTGCTGCTGGAAATGATAAGAGGCCCCTTACCACACACATTTATGGCCAAATTGGAGCCAACAACAACCAAATGGCTCAGATATCAACAGTTAATGAGAATCAGATTATATCTTAGGATGAGTTCTCTAGAGATAGGAATTTTGTTAAATTTGGAAATGAGGCTAAGGAAGTACTTCTTACTTTACTAGCTAAGCTGCAGACACAAGTCGAATTGATTACAACTGAACATGGGATTCTCCAGCCAACAGACAAAATTTATGTGAAATTGGTTAAGGTGAAGCAGGGAACATCAAGAATTTGGCTCAGTTTCTTATCAAGGCAGAGAAAGAAGATTTTCCAGTTTCCAATGATGATCCAGCCTTTGTTCATGTTATCAAGTCTTGCATTTCACATGGGCGGTTAAATCAAGCACATGACGTTTTGGATGAGATGCGTTTTGCTGGGGCTAGAACTTATTCTTCTATATATGCCTTCCTCCTTTAAGAGCATGCTGTAAAGCAAACCGCTCAGGAGAAGTCACATCACTTTTACCAGATGCTCAGATGGCTGGGATCCAACTAGATTCTAGCTGTTATGACACATTGATACAATCCCGGGTGCTTGAGCAGGATACTCAAGGAGCCCTGCATTTATTCAAAGAGTTGAAGGAGGCTAAGATAACCAGAGATGGTAATCAAGAATTTGAGAGGTTAAGGGATGTGCAGGCAATGGTGAAGCAGGGTTAATGGCAAAGCTCTTGGGAGAAATCAGGGAAGGGCATAAACTGGATAGTAGAGTACACAATTGGAATAATGTCATCCCTTTTTTCTGTAAGAAGAGGTTAATGCAAGATGCTGAGAAAGCTGTGGTGAAGACAAGGAGTCTGGGGCATGCTCCAAATGCTCAAACTTTCCACTCTATGGTCACTGGATATGCTGCTATTGAAGGAAAATAAATAGAGGTAACAGAGCTTTGGGGTGAAATGAAATCATTTGCTTCTTCCACCCCAATGAAATTTGATCAGGAACTCCTGGATTCTTTGCTTTATTCATTTGTAAGGGGTGGATTTTTAATTGGAGCAAATCAAGTCCGACAAGTCGTGGATATGATGGAAAAGGGATCCTAGAGAGAATTGACATTGTTTATCATCCATGCTTGCTGCCCATATCCTAAAGGGGAGAACGCCGGCTGTGAGGCGTGAGAACTTCAATTTCGTTGGGAGCATCATGAAATTGATATCCGTAACGTGTTTGGTCTGATAACCCATACAATTACAGCAACATGTGTACATTGTACTTTTAATGTTTTCGTGGTTAAAAAGTTTAGATGAAGTCTTTCTTTGGGGGGTCAAGATTGTTAGAATTTTCTTAAAAATTAGTAGTACTAATATGAATAAACATTTAATAAATAACTAAATCATGGAATAAATTACGTATGATTTCTTTTTGGAAAAATATGATCATCATATTTTACAAGTACATGCCTGCCTAAATCCCAATGGTGGTAGACCAATTCTTTAACGACGCACCATACCGCAGAAGATCAAATTCGTCTTCCTAAAAAATAATTTTAAAAAAAATAACTTTGGTTGCCCCGTTTAAGTTGCGAGTGGGGACCACAGTATCCTATATAAATCCGCCACGACTCCACCCTTGCAGCCAAGACCCCTCAACACAGGCAAACAGTCTCAGCTAGCCTGTTCCGTTGTTGCCGCTCCAAGGCCACCCTAAAAAGCCTATCTTTTCCCCTCTTCTTCTGTTGGCCTCTTCCTTTCACACCCTCGACAAAGACAAGAAAAAAAGAAACTGCACACCAACATGAAGCGCTCCCGCGTCAACCGTTCCACTAGCTTCGGCAACATTCGCGTCGTCAACCCTCCACCAGCTGCTGCTTCTGCTTTCCGTTAGAACCCACTCGCCAATCCTGCCGTAATCTCTGCCCATGCGCCACCTCTGAAGGTTTGGGAGATGGCGAGGGTAGGGATTTTGACCGTGTCGGCGGCGGAAGTGGCTGCGGGAAACGGACAAGAAAGTTATCTCTTGGACAAATGCTTCTTTTGCAAGAAGGGGCTGCGCCAGGATGATGAAAGATTTATGTACAGGTATGCGTGTTCATGTTTTATGCTTTTATTTTTACTATTTTTATTATTAAATCTTTGACTTTCTCTACTGTTGTATATTATCGACTGATCTCTGTTTGGCTGCTGAGAAAGAACTGAAAAATAATACTAGAAACTAAATATAAGAAATTGAATCTTTTTTATTAGTTCTTTCCGACATTTCTCCATTATCTGTGAATGAAGCATTTACATGAAGGTGGTTTTTTTTCTTTTGTTTAATGTCTCAGTTTTTTTTTACTCTCTTTTACCGTTTGATTCGTGGGAAAATTATGCGAAGAAAAATTAGAGAAATGCCTTTGAGTTTTGATTTTCTTTGGTTCCCTCATTTTTTTAATCTCTGAAAATGGTGAAATTATCAATTAGACTTAAGTGTACATTTGCATTGCACATGCTTACTATCAATCTTTGAGAATTATAGAACTGCTTATATAAAATACTCGATGCTGTGATTGTAATGTATTGCATGTTTCGCCTGTGCTTTTATTCTTTCTTACTTACGTTTGTGTTCGTTAGCCCTTTAATTGCAGAAATATAAGTGCAGAACTAATGGAGGATTGTATTCTTCAATTTTTACCTCTTTGTGTTCCTGTCCATGGTTTCTTCCCACTTTCAAAGTTTCACAGTTAAAGTTTCTTGTTCTCTTCTCTGCATGTCTAGTTCATGTCTTCACGTTGGAGTTCCGTTAAGCAAATTATTGACGCCAATTGCGATTTTGGATAATTGGACTGAACTCGATTGTATGCAGTGACTTTCGTGCATTTTGCACTCTTGAATGCCGCACTAAACAGATTACTGTTGACAATGAGAAGGAGAAAGTTTCTAAACAATCAACTGGAACAAAGACAGAGTGTAGTAGGAAGAATGACTTGAAGTGTCAGTCTGGTGCTCAACGGGAAAAGCATGCATTTTGACTGTTTCTTAGTTCACTAACTCTGGTGGTGCACAGCTTGTCAAATTTTTGAGATCGGCATGCACTTATTCAGAAGATGGCATCATGGCTGGCATATCATCAATCTTGCACAGTTGCACTAGTTGGTTAAAAATCACCACGTTTTTGGAGGACTGGACATTTTGTTTCAACTTTGAAGCATATGATGCCATCATATGATTTTTTTTTTTTTTCTTTACAAATGTTGTGGCTCTGGATGGTAGTTTTTTCACTCATAGATCATCTGATTAAAGTTGCAGATTCTTCTCTACTCTCTTTTTATGCATTTTAGTGATATTTTCTATATTAAGAAGGTGAAATTTC